AGACAGACACATAGACAGACAGAGACATAAATAGACACACCCCTGTTAGCTTTGGAAGCATTTAGGCATGAAAAACTATGTCTACTCCTTTCTTTACTGCCCCCAACTTATTTTTTCAGAGGCCCCTAGAATCTCAAACCATCACCAAACTGCCTATTAGCAACCCCGGATCAGCTCCCCACAGTCCTTTGTCCTTAAACCAACAAGTCTGGATGAATAAGAATGCTTTTATAAAAGGGGCACGCCTTTAATCCCAGCAATTGGGAGGCAGAGGCCGGCGAGTCTCTGAGAGTCAGACAAATGAGTCATTTGTCTACATAGTGAGTTTCAGAGTCTTGTCTGTACCAAAACAAAACAAAACAAAATGTCTTTCCTCTTTTGCTAAAGTCAGAAAGTAAAACATCCATAGTTCTGGTTGGAATATTTCCTTAGCCTCATACAATCTTTTGTTTGTTTGTTTTGTTTTTTTTCCAATGCAGGGTTTCTCTGTGCAGCTCTAGCTGTCCTGGATCTTGCTTTGTAGACCAGACTGGCCTTTAATTCAGAGATCCACCTGCCTCTGCCTCCCCAGTGTCAGGATTAAAGGTGTGCACACCATACAGTGATGTTCTGGACAATCTGGAAAGATTCTTCTGAAGCTATTTTTAGGGATGTTTCTTCCAATTAAGCTTGAAACATGGCCAGCTTTATCATGGATGCTAATATTATAATCTTTAGAACTAAAGTGGTCATGTCCTCTGTATGACCAGAGACACATCACTCATTTTATAGCTCCTGACCCAGGGTCTTACTATTTAGCCCTGGCTGGCCTGGAACTCACTATGTAAACTGTGCCTAGTGAACCCTTGACACCTACACGCCACCCCACCCCACCCCTCATCCAACACCAACCATGGCTGGGGAGTTTAGCTTGCATTATAAATGTCCAGCAGGCTCTTTGTGCTGAGCGCCTCCTGCAGCCATCAACCAGCATAGATCACCTCCAGGCACACTTGCGTACCTGCCCTCAGTCATCACAGATATGAATGAAAAAGGCTAAGACACTTACAGTTCTTGGACATCGTGTCTCCATCCACAAGAGAAATTTGATTCACAAAATAGGATGAAGGGCAGCGCTGTGAAGTCAGGCGAGCTCTGCTTACTCGGCCTGACCCTCCATCCCGTACAGAAAAGAATCCGCAAGGGTCAGGGGAGACAAAGCTGGAATGTGCACAGATGCATTTGTTCTGGAGAATTGCCTGAGGGAGGAGAACTAAACAGCCTCAAAGACCAGAGCAGAGCGTGGCTTCGCGCATTTCGAATGTCTGGCCTCTTACTCGGGATCCTAGCTGGGTCGTGAGCCATACCGTTGCTGCCTCCACAGTGGTCCAGCACAGAGGTCCTAAGGGGTCCCTCCCTCAGAGACCTCCCACCCTGAGAGGCCCCGAATGCATTGTGTATAGAACTCTGTGGGTGTCGGTCCCAGAACTCTTCCCATCACTTCCCTCACTTTGACAAGAGAAAATTTTGCACACTTTTTATTGATGAAATTGCTGTGGGACTGTCAGGCTCCAGGCAGCAGGCAGGAGTGAAGCTTCTGAAGCACAGGGCCCTCAGGGGGAGGGGGGAGGACACTCCGCTCAGCTGCTGACTCACAGTGCAGCTGCCTCTCCCCCTGACGTCCTTCACTCTTGCATGTCACTGGTCACATCTTCCCCATCATTCTCCCACCTTGCCCTTCTGCAGGTCTATGACTGCCTCCAGAAGTTTAAAGAGAGGAAGCTAGTTCCTGCTACAACTCATGCACAGATCTTATCCTGTGAGGTAAGGCGGCTCTGTCCAGAAGGGCGGTAGAGCCCTCTTGTTATGTCCTCTGGCCTGTAGTGCTTACCTAAATGAGTGGAGGTTTCTGCTGGGAAAACTTGGGCAATGAGCATGCATTCTTAATAAATGTTCCTTTTTAAAAAAAAATATGGAATACTTCATGACTTTTCATATTAGCCTTGCACAGGCCATGCTAACCTTCTCCATATTGTTCCAGTTTTTAGTATGTAGGCTGACAAAGCGAGCACTTAACAAATGTTCTTTTTTAAGATTTATTTATTATTTATACAATATTCTGCCTGCAGGCCAGAACAGGGCACCAGATCTCACTATAGATGGTTGTGAGCCACCATATAGCTGCTGGGAATTGAACGCAGGACTTTTGGAAGAACAGCCAGTGCTCTTAACCCCTGAGCCATCTCTCCAGCCCTTAATAAATGTTCTTAATTAAACTTAATATAAAGAAGAAAATTGTTTTCTAAAAATCACACACACACACACACACACACACATGCACACTCATGCACACACACGTGTATGTGCATTTTTAGCCCATGACCTCCTCTCCTTTTGCCCATCTGTCTTTTACATTCAACCGTCCTCTATAAACAGGGTGACGCTGCAGTAATGATTCTCCAGTTTCTAACACAGACCCTGTTTGGATTCCAGCCTTTGCTGGTCAACTTGAAGTTGGGTAGATGCCATGAATGTAGCACGGCCTCAACATGCCCCCTCCAGCTCACTCCTCCAGGGCCTCTCCTGTCTCAGTTAATGACAGCGCTGTCACTGCGGTGCCATTGCCAGGCCAGAATCTGGGGGATAACCTGTGAGTCTGTTCTTTCTCTCACATCTCGTCCAGTCTGTGGCAAATCCCATCAGCTCCACTTCCAAATTCATCTGGACTCTCTTTCACTGGTCCCGTGCCGCCTACCACCCCGCAGCACAAGCCGTTAACATGTTAACATGCCTTACCCAGCTAGCTGGGTGTCTCCTCCACCAGCTCTCTCAGCTACGCCTTTGCACCTCCACGTCTGCTTCCAATGGAGCAGTCAGACATTTTCCATAAAAGCAAGTTGGGCCCTGTCGCTTCCCTGCCCTAGTCCTCCTTATACCCTCCTGCCTCAGAAGAAATACCCAGATCCTTACGTGCCGGAACATGACTGGCCTCCCTGCGGCTTTCTTTCACGCTTGTTTTCTCCACCTGCTTTTTCTGCCCCAGCCATGCCAGCATCGACGCCCACGAGCTCTGCTGCACCCTCTCCCTTTGCCCTTCCCTAAGCCACACATGTGCTTGCTCGGCAACCCTCCAATCACTCACACTCCAGGAAGAGCTCGTCCTGGCCACCCAGCTAAACGTGGCCTCCTTCCTGGAAGCCCCTGGCCAACTGCCTTGGTTAATTCTTAACTCTCTATATGAGACAAAATTGTTCATTTCTGTTCTGTTTATGGCCTGTGCCTCCTCACTGGGATGTGAATTCCTAGAAAGTGAGAATTTATGTATGTCTGTTAACTGTTCTACCATCAGCCGAAACAGCGTCCAATGTAAAAAACGTGTTCAAAACCATAGAAGAAATCAGAGAGGGACAGAGAGAAGGGAGAGGGAGAGGGGAGAAAGAAGGAAGAGACTCTACCCTCCCTTCCAGCGCTCAGCTGTTCAGACTGTCGTCAGGTATCTGCAGGCTAGCACACATGTGATATTTTACTCACTTGTAACCCACTACACAGTTGTGAACCTGTGACCTGTGTGTTTTGCTTGGCTGTGTGCAGTGACACTTGGCTGCTGAGGATTCATACTTTGGAGGGTGTAGTGCCCTCTGAGAGCGGGTCTACAATTCATTCTAAGCCAGTTTACATTTGCAGCAGGCATCAAGAAACTGCCGAGAAAAAAATGACCTACTTTTAGATAAAAATCACCATTCCCATTTTCGACCCCCCCCCCCCAAAAAAAAAAAAATGGAGCTTCTCAAGAAACCAAGTGGCCTGAATTCTCAGGTCACCTGTAACTCAGCTTCGTCTGCCCATGATACACTGACAATAAAGAGCCATATTACCAGCATCGGAGGGAAAGGGCCTTGCTACACAGACTGTTGGGGCGTGGGGAATCAGATGTGGGTCCTCTGAAAGAGCAGCAGGCTCCCACAGCCCTGGGCCATCTCTGCAGCCCCAGGCGGTGAAGATCTTAAGTATTTTATTGCATTTTGCCTTTTGGAAACAGGGTCTCACCTGCAGGCCAGGCAGGCTGCTCTGTAACTCACTTTGCAGCCAAGCTAGTCGCAAACTTTTGACGATCCTCACGTCTCAATCACTCCAGGGCTGGGATTACGGGCGTGAGCCACCTGGTTTAGCATACTTTATGCTCTGTGTTTTCCCACCATGAACCAGGTCTTGGAGCTCTTACCCAAAGCCTCCGGTTCTCCTGAGATCCAAGAGCTAAGACAAGTCCTGCAGGCTCCGCACTGCAAGGTAAGTCAAGGTTCGCCCAACGGGCATACAGACAGTCTGGAAGGGTAAACAAAAGTGCACACGAACGGCCAACAGATTGTACTTGCAGCTGTGGGACTCCCACGTAGCTGACTAATCAGTCGCTGAGCACGTGCTGTCACATGTTTGGGAGTACACCTGGAACTTTCCAGGATGTCTCTTTCTCCCGAAAACATACTATCCCTCTAGAATTCTACTTACAGAGAAATAATCTCTATACTCCCTCTCGAGGAGGGAAGATTTTGAATGTTGGATGCAGCGTTTTGAAATTATTTGGGTTAGACATTTACTTGCCTCTATGTGTACGTGCCTGCGTGAGTCTGCGTGCACCCCACGTGTAAAGGTGTGTGTAAGCTGTCTGATGTGGGTGCTGGGCACAGAGCCCAGCTCCACTGAAAGGGCAGCCAGCTCCTTCTGAAACCTCTTAAGCTCTGAGGCATCTCTCCAGCCCCGAAAGGAGATTACTGTACCCTTTTTAACCTCTGTCTTCCCAGACCCCTCGTCCCCTCGTCTATGAAAGAGGGACGGTAAGTATACCTGTCTCGTAAGGGACTGTGACTGGACTTGCTTGGCACTGCACCTGACTCCAGGTGTGGTGTTTGTGGCTGTGTGTCTTATGCGGTACCCAGCCACCGTCTTTGAGATGAACGTGTGTCACGTGTAACACCTGCTCACCTTTCCTCTCCTGTTCCCAGGCTTTGCTCAGTGCCCATGATACAGTAGCTCAGAAAGACTTTGAACCCCTTCTCCCGCCACTGCCAGACAATATCCCTGACAGTGAAGAAGCAATGAGAATTGTTTGTTTGGTGAAAAACCAACAGCCCCTGGTAAGGAAATCACTGTATCTTTTGTTCCAGCCTTATGGCAGGGTTCATTGTGATGTAAGTTACGTCTGATAGTCACTTGAACGGCAATTTTGTCTCGGTGACACACACGGAGAAAATAGTGCTGTGAAAGCCAATATAATGTTGCCTGTGGGTCAAACACCGCTCGCCATAATGTTTTCTCGATGAAAAGGTTTCTATGTCTGTTTTGTTTTTATGAGAAGACAAGAGAGTGTATAAACTTTTTTAGTGAAAGCAAGATATCTGTGTTATGTATTTTATTTGGTGTTGTGTATTTTCTTCAGTTCCAATACACTGGCCTACATCTTTCTTTTCTATTAATAGGAAGCTGGTAAGACTTAATTTAGTCTCTCTTGTGTTCTCTCCCCAGGGAGCTACCATCAAGCGCCATGAGCTAACAGGGGACATACTGGTGGCCAGAGTCATCCACGGCGGGCTGGTGGACAGGAGTGGTAAGCAGGGGTAGCAAGGTGTAGGCGAGACACAGAGAACACTGGAGTCTCTGGCTTTCCCAGGAGCAGAGGAGGCCCTTCCTGCGCTTAGGTCAGGGTCTCCAGATACCCCTTGCTTGGCCAGAGCAGTAAAAAAAAAAAAACAACCAAGGAACAGAGGTCTCAGGAAGTCCAGCACCCTTCTTCAGAGAGGCCCGACATGCTAGGTTCCATGAGGGTGCATTCTTGTGAGCATTCTCAAGGCTCCCAGGCATAGCAAGCATTACCATGACATTGTGCAGATAGAAGAACCCAGCCTCTTCAGCTTCCAAGATGGCAGCACTCATGTTCATCGAGAACCGCCTCTTGTTTGTGCTTTCCCCTGTCACATGCAGCTGCCTCACTTCCTTGCTCCCCACAGTCTCCTGGAGCCTGCATGTGGCTGGCCTCCCGACACTATCTTGGAAACTCCTAAGGAGTCCCTTATTGCACGTCCTCAGGCCCTTCTCTCATCTTTTCATCTTTGGCTCCTCCCCAATGGATCATCACCATCCTCGATTTCTCTCTAGACAACCATCCTGCTGCTGTGTCAGTTCTCTGGAACCTCCTGTCTCCTTGTATTTCTCAAGGCTTTCTAAAATATCCCCACATAATAATCATACATATTAACAAGCTACAGCACGTAAATAAAACTCATATACATGACACGTAGTAATAGATCAAGATAGTTGCTTTTCTTCCTTTCCTAAATTGAATTTTTTTCCACATGGTATATTCTGTTTACAGTTTGCCATCCGTCTCCTCCCAGATCTCCCCCACCTCCACGCATACCCAACACCAGGCCCTTTTTTCTCTCTTTCTTTAGAAAAGAGATGGACAAACAAAGCAAGCAAGCAAGCAAACAAACAAACAGAAACAAAAAATCTTTTAAAAAAGAACAGAGAAAAGAAAAAGCATAAGAAACACACAGAAACGAAACTCATAAAAAACACAAAATGGGAGACCATAATGTGTAAGCAAATGACCAGTGAGGTTAAAAATGCCCAAAGCAATATGAGACCAAAGAAAAATCGACAAAAATAGCATTGAGTTCATTTTGGGTCGGCCCTTCTGCTGCTGGGCATGGGGCCTGCGTGTAAGTGTGGTTTGAATACTCAGTGAGACTCCATTGGAGAAAACTGACTTTTCCCTTGGCAAGCTAGCCTCTTTGCTAGTTTTTTCCTGGTTTCTAGTTTTTCCAGGCAGTCAGGACTCCGTTGTAACACTCTATAACCCCAGATAGAGGCGGCTTCTTGAGTTAACAGGATAAGGAGCCTCGACCAGTGCAGAAACAGCAGCAGCAAGGATGGCTCCTGTCATTTTCCCCTCTCAGCACTGGGACCCTGTGTGGCTTGGACCTGTGCACACTGCCACAGTCTCTGTGAGCTGACATGCCTGTCAGTCCTGTTGTGCCTGGAAAGTGTTGTTTCCTTGGAGTCATCCATGCCCTCTGGCTCATCCTATCATCCTGCCCCTCTTCCTCAAGGTTCCCTGAGCATCCCCGAAGGGAGGGGCTTGGTGAAGACATTCCTTTTAGGACCAGGGTCTCTCACTCTCTGCACACTGTTCAGCTGTAGATCTCAGCGTCAGCTCCCATCTACTGAAGGGTAAAGTTTCTCTGGTGGTGGCTGAGCAAAACACTGATGTGCGGATAGAGAAAATGTTGTTAGGAGTCATTTTATTGCTTTGTTCCCTTAGCAGAACAATATATTTGGCTTTCCCCTGGACCTGTGGACAATCCACTCTCAGTTTCTTGGCCACCCAAGCAGTGTCAGGCATGATATTTGAATCCTTATCTCCTTAAGCATTTACTGTTGGTTTGTGTTAAGAATTGTTTAGTCCTAAAATGCACAATCCATTATTCTGAAAGACAAGTACCCTACAGGACTTTAGAGCATCAGAGTTAAAGGCTTTAGCTTTGTCTATGTGTCTGTACATATGTGTGTATGCACATGTGTTTACGTGTGTGTATGTATAGATGTATAATACATGTATATAATGGATGTGTATATGTTTATGTGTGTGCATGTTTATATGTATGTGTGTATACGGTTTGTGTGCATGCATGTGTGTGTGTTGTTAGGGACTGAACCCGAGCTTTGCACACGGTAGGCAGGTGCTCTACCACTGAGCTGAGACCTTGAACTCACTATCCCTGGCTTCTGCGCCCCTGATGCCGTGTCTCCACACCCAGTTCAAGGTTTCGTCTTATTCCCCCAAATGCCCCCCCCCCTGGATCTTTTGAGGAATAGTCCATTCTTTTCCTTTTCACGAAATATTTACTCACCACTCTGACATCTTTAGTATTCTTCTGGCCAGCATTTGGTTCCATTTTAAAACATCAGAGTAGCAAAAACAAATCACTCTTGGTGCTGGCAGAGAAGTAGAAAACAGGGTACTCACAGACAGTTATATAAGTTGGGGGTATAAGTTGGGGTAAACAGCTTTTTTTTATTTAAAAATGTCAAACATGCTTGGGGTCATGAGCTCGTAGTTGGAATGGTGGTGCCCTCGTTCTGTTTCTTTGGACCCCTCTGTTTGTATCCCTGTTACCCAGGATTGCTGTATGCTGGAGACAAACTGGTGGAAGTGAATGGAATTTCGGTGGAGGGCCTGGACCCCGAGCAAGTGATCCATATTCTGGTAACTGTCTCACCTCCTCTTTTTGTTAGTGATTTAGTGACATTTCATGCCCCTCAGTGCGTGTGCTTTAGTGTGATGACCTTTGAGTCTCCCCCAGCCCTGGACCTTGTCTGCTGCCATGTAACTCACCAAGCTTCCTGTTTAATCCACAAAAGTTCTAGCCCAGGCTGGGAAACAGCCCTTCCCGAGCACCTCCCTGAGGGCCAGCAGGCCCCCTCTACACACGCACAAGTTCCTCACGAACTGTGCCCAGTGCGAAGCTGAGCCCGGGCAGAGGTTTTGGAGACAGTTTGAACCTGAGAAAGAGTTCCCTCCCTCCCTCCATTCAGGGACTTTCTCTGAGCAGCTTTGGGTGGGTGGAGAAAGGAGGGGCAGAAGGCAATGCATGGCAGGAACAATCTGCTCTTGTCCCTCAGTGGCCAGTGCTGAGAAAAAAGCATCTCCAAATTCAAGCAGGCTCCAGCGTCCGCCCAGCCCGTGTACCCAGATATCAGCCTTTTCTCTCAAGTTCCGGTTCTCCTCTGTCAGGCTCGTTCCTTCCTCAGCAGTGCAGTGTATTCCCCATTGAAGCATGGGGAATGCTTGGTGTACCCCAAGTACACCCCAGGTAGTTTTCCCAGCGACGGCTTGGAGACCAAGGTGAGAAGTGATAAGAAATGTAGCCAGAGCTCCTAAGTATTTTCTAAGCTACTACCCCAAGATTCCATGTGGTACAGAAGGTCCTGCAAAGGGAATTTGGAGTGTATCTATGGTGGATATCAACCAAGCAGGTGTCCAGCTCGGCCTCCCAGCTCCAGCCATGATGTGCATAGCCAGGACAATGCTTGCACAGCTGCCCGGACAGAGTCAGAATGAGGTCTCTCTAATCTCTGACGCCTGTCAGTGTATGTAACAGGGTTCACAGCTCAACAGGGAGCCGGGAGGGTCCCTTCTCCCCTATTCACTTGAAGGGCTCCTCATTTTCATTTTTAAATCTGGAAACTTGGGGGAACCCACTGTCCTTCCCATCAGGCAGCTGGCTTAGCAACGCGTGTTCAGGAAACACTCACTGGGTATGAGTGAGGAAGGAAGTCAAAGATGCTGACTTTTTCCCAGGGTGTGTGGGGAAGAGGCCTCTCTAGTGAGTTCATCAGCAGGGCACTGAGGGTCGTGGGCAGAGGCCACCTCGGGGTGGGTTTCTGTAGCACATGACCCCATTTCCCTGCACTGAGGCAGATACAGAGCTAAATTGCCTCCCAGTTGCCATTTGGTACTGACCCCGGTGACAGTCTCTGTGGCAAATGTTGACATTCAGCTGTTACCCTGGAGCTCACGCTTTGCCACTCTCGCTCTTCCTCTTCTAGGCTATGTCTTGTGGTACGATCATGTTCAAGGTGATCCCAGTGTCTGCCCCACCTGCGAGCAGCCAGACGACGGTAAGAGCACAGAATGGCAGTTACCCAGGATGGCATATGGCAGTCCTATATGCTATGTGCTGTGCTGTTTTTGGACGGGGGTTCAGTATTCAGGATGTTTCTCAGTGCTGATGATCTGAGAGGGAGGATGGGTGAACACAGCGGAGGAGCGGGATGCCATGAAATGAAGAAGCAGCGTCAAAAATGGCTGACATCTGAATACAAGTATTTCAGAGTCTGCTCTACAACACACTTTAACTGTTTTTATTAGCATATGTGACTTATATTTAATAATGAGTCTTATGATGACATTTTCATATATATAAATGTATTTTGATCACATTCAATCTATCTCATTACTCTCTCATGCCCCGCTCCCATTAATCTTCTTTATCTTTCCAACTTTCCCCATTGCTGCCTTCATATCTATGTCTATGCATGCATGGTGTGTGTGTGTGTGTGTGTGTGTGTGTGTGTGTGTGTGTGTGTGTGTATGGGTGTGTGTATGGGTGTGTCTGTGTGAATGAGATTCATAGGAGTTAGCAGGAACACTGAAACAAATGTCTCAATCTTCTCACTGACCGCTGATGTCTTTAAAACCTGAGGGGAGAGGAGTGAGACCCCAAAACCCTATGACAGGGCATTGACCTGCCCAGTCATGTAGGTAATCATGGTGGCTGAGAGAGCTGTTGTTCAGGAGTGCAACAGCGACATCACGCCTGTAAGTCAGCGTCTATACCACTCTTCCCGCTTTGTCTGGCTCCTACATTATTTCTGCCCCTTCTACAATGCTCTCTGAGCTTTGGAGTGGATAATACAGATTTCCCATTTATGGCTATTCATTCAATAATCATCCATGCTCAATACTTTGACCACTTAAGAGGCTTTGCAGTCACTGCAGGCCACAGCCGAAAGAAACATGTCTGACCAGAGCTGTCAGCATCACCAATCTGTGGATGTAGCAAGCACAGTTACGGGGAAAGCACTTTGACAGGCATGTCATGCCCATTTGGCAAAACACTATCAGTAGCTTCCCATTAGGGCCTATGACCTCCTCAGCCACAGGCTTTTGCCTGTGTTTACAGTACTGAATTCACTCCTATGGAGTGGGCATCATATCCAGCTGGAAAGTGGTTGGCTATGGCCATAACAGACTTGCCACGGCTGCAGCAAAGAGCTCCCGTTTCCTGGCTGGTTGGCATTCCCGAATACAGCTCCACAGAGAAGTAAAGCTGTGGACGGCGATTCTTCCCCAGCAGCCTGCGGCCAGGAGGGAGGAAGCTTCCAGCCTGGTTTCTCTGTGCCCTCTGTACTCCAGCGTTTACTTTAGAAGTGGGGTGAGGGAGGTGGCGACGGTTTTAAGTCGTGATGGCTCCTGGGCAACACTCTTCTGATAGTACTGTCATGCACCTGCCATCAGGTTTACGTCCGTGCCATGATTGATTACTGGCCCCAGGAGGATCCTGACATCCCCTGCGTGGATGCTGGGTTGCCCTTCCTGAAAGGGGACATCCTACAGATAGTGGACCAGAACGATGCCCTCTGGTGGCAGGCCCGGAAAATCTCAGACCTCGCTGTCTGTGCTGGGCTCATCCCTTCTTACCACCTTCTGAAGAGGTAAGGAGGTCATCCCCGGTGTCAGAGTTAGACCATCAAGCAGTGCTTGGGACACCAGCTTTCTGAATGTGTGACAAAGACGCAAGCAGATGGAGGAACAGACACACCCTGGTTTATAAACCCGAGCGTCAGTTTACTGATAGACCTTTACCTTCTTAAACTCTACGGGGACCGGAAAAGTTACATCAGCTAGAAAATGCCCCTGAACAAAACTTAAATATTTCTATGATCTGAATATGTTGACCCAATCCCCTAGAGCAATAGTGTGAGAAGGCAAGGGGTGGCTTAGGTAATGAAGTAAGATTAATAAATTACAGCACCACGGGTTATTGATACTGTGAAGACGGAGGTCCTGACAGGAAAAGGAGGTGCAAGGAATTGAAGTCCCAGAGACTGCACAGTGCACAGCCCTGGGGCTATAGGAGTGGGAGGTGGCGGCAGAGGTAGGGTGAGTCAAAGGCTGTTGAAGAAAAGACCCACGTGTTAGAAGGGACATTTGCCTGCTTAAATAAAGCCATCCAGTTTTACAGCCAGTGCTGAGAGCATGGGAGCAGCCAGGAAGAATGGGGCATGGCATCCCACGCTGGGGACTCTTCAAGGAAAGGAAGGGTGATCTGGGAATGTGGGTGGTGACCCAGGACAGCGCCCGGCCCAGGCTCAGTGGAACAGAGTCACCAGCGCACACTGGAGCTAGATGCCCCAGTCCTATCTTTGTGCCTCCTCAGAAATGCAGGCGTGGGGGCGCAGCCCTGAGAGCCCACGCTGGGAAAGTCAGCCAACCTTTGCTCTCTTTCTGCCCAGGAAGCAGCGGGAGTTCTGGTGGTCTCAGCCGTACCAGCCTCACACCTGCCTCAGATCCACCCGATGCCAATGTGCGTACGTGAGTGTGCACGGACCTTAAACACGGCACATCTGGAAGGCTGCTCCCCCAGCCTCCCAGGCTAGCTTCCCGCCTGAGAGAGGGCCTTAAATAGTCTCCCTGTCCCAAGATAATCCCTTCCACAGCCAGCCTTCAGAAATCCTATCATAGGTATTCATCCCTTTACTTTCCAGTTGATGAAAAGGAGCCTTAGTGTTTCTATTGCTGTAATAAATACCATGACTTAAAGCAATTCGGGGAGGAAAGGGTTTATTTTGCTCATACTTCCGCATCACAGTCCATCCCCAAAGGAAGTCAGGCAGGTACTGAAGCAGAGGAGGAACACTATATACCGGCTGGCTCCTTATGGCTTGTTCAGTGTACTTCCTGTATAATCCAGGACCACCAGTCCAGCCCACGGATGGTGCTGCCCACATCAATCACCAACCAAGACACACCAGTCTGAGGGAGGCATTTTTTCAGCTAAGAGTTCCTCTTCCCAGATATGTTTAGGTTTATGTCAAGCTGACAGAAACCAGCCAGCACAGAAGGCAAACACATGCTTTGGTTGAAGACCGCTTAAGTCATTTACCCCCAACTTCAAGTCCTCCAAGATCCCTGCAGCTCCGGGGGTTTCATGCCTGGAGAGATGCCTGCAGCCATGCAGTTGCACAATCTTCATTTGTGTCTTTCTTTTTTAATGTTAAGATTTACTTTCTTGTTACATTGTGTGCATGGAGGGGTGTGGGTGTTTGGCCTGCATGAATGTCTATGTGTCACATTTATGCAGTGCCCCAGGAAGCCAGAAGAGGGTTTCAGACCACCCAGGGCTGAAATTACAGATGATTGTTAGCCTCCATGTGGGTGCTAGGAACCAAACCGAGGTCCTCTGGAAGAGCAGCCAGTACCCTTACTCCCAACCCATCTCTCCAGCCCCCTGTGTCTTTTCTTTTTTGTGCTGGATATTGAACCTAGGACTTGGTGCATGCTAAGGAAGCACCCTCCTGCTGGGCTACATCCCCAGCCCCAGCCCCAGGCCTTCAGGACGAAAGAAGAGACTGAGATATCACTTAAGGGATCAGTGTACAGTGTTCTTCAAATGGTAGGAGGGGAGTGGTTGAAAAGAGAATTCCATGGCCAGAAGCGCTTGTGAAGTGCTCAAGGCCTTAATAAAGCTGCTGTCGGTGGGACACAGGAGTCAAGGAAGGATGACAGAAACAAACTGGGGCCTGCAGGGGTTAAGGCGGGGGAGAAAGGGGACATAGAGAGATGGAAACGAGATAGAGGAGACTCCATGTGGACCACAGACAGCAACACCAGTATCACAGGTTTGTTTTTTATTTTTTGGCAGTGTCTCATGCAGCCCAAGCTGGCCTAGAAATAGCTATGTGGCCGAGGATAACTTTAATTCTTGATCCCCCTGCCTCTACCTCTCAAATGTTGGGTACAAGGCATGCACCATTACAGTCAGCTCACAGAGACATTCCCAAAAGGAGACATCCGTGCAGTGCCTTCTCCCTGACACCATGTTAAATCATCTCTCACTCACAGACACATGTCCACCAGGGTACAGCAATAGCTGTAATATCACTAGTTCTCGCTTAACTTTTCATCAGAAGCATTTTTGCATCATAATATTCCTAGTGATATTTTATTTTATTTTGAAAAAAAAAATTAATCAAGTAGTTGTAAAGAATCCTTTAGTTCACTTTCCTGTTTCATCTGTCAAAGGGTCATAGAGATACTGTTGGTCTCTAGTCAGTATCTGTTAACTAGTGTGACCAGAGGTTGATGTGAAATCTGTATGTGTGCCCTACGTGTGATTTGCCTTAAGGGTTTTGTTTGTTTGTTTGTTTGTTTGTTTGTTTGTTGTAAGTCCATATAGAAAGTTGTTTGCCTGGCCCTGTTAGTGTTGGCACACAACCCTGAATCTGAGAACCCCAGGTCTGGAGCCATTGACTTAGAGGACCATCTTTCTCAGGGAATGATGGGACAGCAGCAGGTCCCAAAGCCACTCGATCATTTTCTTCTGTCATGAGTGATGCTGTGACAAGTGCTAGTGTTTCTTTTTGCTCTGTTTAAATCTTATTGTGTAGAAACCCAGGGCATGAACAAGCTACGAGTGAAGAGGTGTTGGCCATTTAATGAATCAAGTTTAAAATTCTGGTGTTGTGACGATGCCTGATGAGCAGAAAGTTGTTCACTGTAATGCCTTTATGTCATTACAATATCAACGTTTCATGCTCCCTCCCCTCCTGCTCCCCTCCCCTCCTGCTCCCTTCCAGCCTAGATTAGAGTTCCTAAGACATGTTGTTCTAACTCAGAGCGTGCTGAGAAGGCAGGTGGTGCGTTTGCCAGAAGCAGTACATCCCCGTTTCCAGCCATTCGTTTCTGAAGGACGGTCATTAGGGGTCTCCCTGAATTCCTGGAATACTAATTACCATGTTGGTGCTTCCTGTTTCTTATTGTAAATTAATCTGAGAAAAGTTGCAAGAATATGAACCACTATTCCGTTTTCTCCCTGTCTCCAGCATTTTCTATGGAAGAAGGTAAGAAACAGGATTCGGGAAAACACCCATATCTCCAAGTACTCCTAGGAACTTTCTCTAGTCTTCAAATTTTATGTCACTCCATTTAGCCATGTGAAGCTATTCCTATGTATCTGGTAGTGTGTAGCACAAAAAGGGTCTTCATCCTGATCTGAGAGATCAAGGGGGCGGACATAATGTTTATACACAGCCCAGAGTCTAACAGCACAGGCTAAGAGCTCTGCAAGAGATAAGTTCTGTAGGGCTTTGTTTTAACTCTTTTATACAAATCTCATGACACTGCAAGCAATTTATTATTATTCTCATCTTATGTGTGAAAAAACTGAGGTTCAGGGAAAAAAAATGGTTACCTGAACTTGCATTGCATGCATTAGTCTTAGGGTGTAAACCTAAGTATTCAGAAGGCAGTTTGGCTACATTATCGATAGTAAACTATGCCCTAAAGCCTATGCCATCTAAGCCATAGGTTTTGGTTCAGGTTGTCAATACTAGTTTTGCGTTTCTCTCCATGGATCAGGCTTCAAATCCAGTGAGAAAATAATTGGTAACCCCAAAACAAATGAGCCACTGTGCACCATTGGGACCACCTGGCCTGGCCGGTCAGTGCTGTAGTTTTTGGGGTCCACAGCTAGGCAGCGCTGTTGGTCCCTTTTCCAGCAGGCTGCACGCACGTGTCATCTGCACGCTGAGCACAAGCGTGCTTAAGCGCTGCTTAAGCGCTGCTTAAGCGGTAGCATTTACTGTTCCATCGTCCATAACATGCATTTCCTCTGACACAGTGGACGTTATCTTACCTGTCTCTCCAAGTGAGCAGCAGTTCTAGGGGTCATACTGAAAGGTGGTCTGAGCTTTGCTGACACAGCCTCAGCAGGGCTTTGTTTGTAATGTGGATGCATCCCAAGTTTTAAGCTCTTGTGTACCCTCTCTTGTAGAAGACAACATGAAGATTGACGAGAAGTGTGTGGAAGCAGGTAACAGCTCCGCCTCCTGACTGAGCCACTACCAGAAGAAACACCTGGCCTCCAGATGCCGGGAAGCAGAGGGGTGGAGGGGCCACACGCCCTTCCTCTGGGAGACCAGCCTATGTGCCCTTATTGTGGCTCTGCGCTTGGAGGGAGAATCAAAGCCCAGGGGTGTCTCCAGGGCTCCCCCTTGGGACTTGTCTCAGGACACGGAGACAACCAGTGTTTCAGGTGGCAGAAGGGCAGAAAGCACTCGTGTTCTTTGTGGAATAGATGAAAGGAGTGTAATACCAAATATTTAAATTGCAAAATATATTTTTGCTGTATATCTATATTTGATGATTCTAGTTATATATATAAATTATTTTATATATGTAATGAATCTAGTCTAGACAGATAGTAATGGGTTCTAAACCTTGGAGAAATAAACAGGACATTTTATATTTCTATACTTAATGGGTTTTGTAGATGGTTTTTGCTTCCCAGCACCCGGAGGCAAGGTGCTCCGTGTTTCTTCTGGTGGTGATTTATTTAATTGTATTGTATGTGCATTGGTGTGAGGGTGTCAGACCCCTTGGAACTGTAGTTACAAACAGTTATGAGATGCCATGTGTGTGTGCTGGGAATTGAACCCGGGTCCTTTGGAAGAGCAGACAGTGCTCTTAACCACTGAGCCATCTCTCCAGCCCCACAATGAACAGCTTTTAAAATATTCCCACAGTTATGTGGGCACCCTTAGAGGTGGCCTTGCCTGGTCTAAGGGTCTCTGACAGGTCACCCAGCTGTGTGTTACAGTCATTCTATCACACAAATGATAGTATCTTCACCTTTAATTCCCTTCTAAAAAGACAACAAGAAGGACAGACAAGGTGGCTCAATGGTAGAATTGCCCGCTGTGTGTCCTCTGACCTCACACGTGTCATCGCATGTCCATGCCTGCATGTTCTCTTTCCCTCCTTCTCCCTCCCCTGCACACATAGTTCTCATGTTTTAAGTTTATGAGAACAACAAAAGCTGTTTTAGCTACTGAGGGAGTTGGTGTGTGTCTCTCTCAGTTACTTGCAAGCCTACTCAAGCCAGCCAGCCTCACCCTCGCCACACCCTCTTGCTGGGAGACCCTGACTCTGCAGGGAACAGACGCCCCTCCATGCTGGTGGCCTCTGGAGCAGTCCCCTGTGCCGCATCCAGCGGTCTGGAGGAGTTTCCTGAGATGTTCCACTTATTTATCCTCTTCTCTCCTGTCACTTAATTTATTTATTTAATGCTCCTGCCTCATCCCTCTTGGTAATCACAGCCCAACGATGGAAAGCCATTCATATCTCACCTAAGACATATGTGTGCCGTAGAGCTAACACTGACTTGATCTTGATCTAATACAAACATTTTTAAGGTAGTATATTTGCAGGCCTATGAACCAGGCTTGTACTGCTAGGAAGTAGATTTGGTGTAGACAGTCCTGTAATGACAATTTTGCTTTTTACCTCCACTGAAAACCACAGATGAAGAAACTTTTGAATCTGGTAAGTTGTTTTTTTTTTAAAAATGCATATTTGTTACTAACCTTTAAATGTGTATTCCATGTTTTTGATATAATGTAAACATATTTAGAGCTATAACAAAGTAATTGTTTAAATGAAAGGAGACAGTGTATACAATCAGACTGTGGGTTGTGACCCCTTTGGGGGGTCTCATATCAGATATTATCCTGCTTATCAGATATTTACATTACAAATGATAAGAGTAATGAGGTAGCAGCAAAATAATGTTCTGGTTGGGGGTCCCCACAACACGAGGAAGCGTGTTAGAGGGTCTCAGCATTGGGCAGGTTGAGGACCATTGCCCTAGACCCACGTGTGTTCCTACTGGGCAGCAATAATTGAAGAGACCAGTAGGTAACTCTTCACCACATGATAGTGATGTAAAGTTTTATAGGCCACACGTGGAGAAGGCGGGGGAGACGGCCCCACGGATAAAGTACTGGTCCTGTCAGTGTGAGGGCCGAAGTCAGAACCAGTGAAAAGCCAGCTGTGCACAGTGGTGCATCTGCACTCAGGTGCGCCTACGCTGACGGCTCGGCAGAGTCACCGGTGGCTTTCTGGCCTGGCACGAACGGTGGAGAACACGGAGCGCCTACACCTGAGGTTGTGCTCAGACATTCACACATGGCTGTGGCACACACACACAGAGAAGGAGAGACAGGGAGAGGAGAAAGAAGGCAGACATTTTGCTGGAAGACAGAATGAAGACGTTGTCTTGCAGTTTATGAAGCCCTTATTTCCACGTGGATAGTAAAGAGACAGAGTCCACTGTGTATGCTGAATAAGCTTTTTTTGTTGTTGTTGTTAATGTGTTACTTGCTATAATAATGGCACTCATCCAGTATCTAGTCTTCAAAATACTGTTCTTTAGTAGCAGAACAGAGTCCACAGCGTGCTGGCTTTGTTTAAATGGACATGCTGCTGTCAGACATGCTGCTGAAGCCCAGTGTCCGTCAGCTTCTCCATTTTGTCAGTCTGGAGTTTAGAGTCTCTGCTTTGACTGAGGCAGTTCCCTCCTTTGCCATGTGCACACAAAATGTCCGTCATCACTCAGCCCAGCACTCAGTGTCAAAGTCCCCCTTCCCCTTTGCTTTTGCTTCTCTGTACTTCTAGAAGGAAAAACCCCTGGTCCTCTCACTTCTTTTAAACCCAGTGTTCATCATGTGAAGGAGATATTACTGTCTAGTAGGTTCTTCTATCTTCTAGAAAAGTCAGACCTAAGAATTTACATTTTGATATGTATACCCTTAAAATATAAATTGCAGGCGTGACGTGGTGGCGCACGCATTTAATCCCAGCACTTGTGGGGCAGAGGCAGGGGGATCACTGTGAGTTCAAGGCCAGCCTGGTCTACATAAGCGAGTCTAGGACAAACTAAGTCTACACAGAGAAACTCTGTCTCAAAAAACAAACAAACAAATATATATATATGTAAATTGCTTTGTTTAAATTACTTCTTTTACAATATAGCTAGGACATCATAGCAGTCTCATAAAATGATAGATTATTTCTCCGGCGAATTCATTCCATACGAATAGAGAGATCTGGAGCTAGCGAGATGGTTGAGAGGTTCAGAGCACTTGTTGCTCTTGCAGACAACCTGGGTTCAATTCCCAGCACCCACATGGTGACCCACAACCATCTCTAATTCCAGTTCCAGGCGATCTGATGCTGCCTTCTGCCTATCACACACACTAGGCATGCATGTGGCGCACATGCAAGCAAGCAATCATGTATGTAAATAAATAAGTAAATCATTTTAAAAACAGAGAGGTCACTGGCCACAGTGGGGCGCGCCTGTAATCTCAGCACTCGGGGAGGCAGAGGCAGGCTGATCTCTGTGAATCTGAGGCCAGCCTGGTCTATCAAGTGAATCCAGGACAGCCAAGGCTATAAAGGGAAACCCTGTCTCAGAAAAACAAAAAACAAACAAACAACAACAAAAAAAAACAACAAAAAGAAAGAAAAGAACCCAGAAATGTTCATCATTAAAAGACAGCATGAAGACAGATGAGGTTGGGAACCACTCGACTTATTATTTACCATTTCCTTTTTTTTTCCCCCCTAAATGCCTGTTTTCCAAATGATTGTTGGCTCATTATGGATGCTTTAATTTTCTCTACTTGGCGCAGAGCTCGCGGTTGGCTTCCTTTTAGTATTTTTAGATTCTATTCTTCCTTCTTTGCTCCGATCCTCTCGTCATCTCTCTGGAGAGTGCTCTGCACTCCACAGTGATAGCTGAGACCCAGAGATACTCGTGGGCTCTGTGAGGGGACAGGCAGGGAGTGTTGTGGTGTGGGGCCACCGTCAGCTGGAGCCAAGTGGTCCAAGTGTGACTGTGGCCTTTCACCTCTTCAACCTTCAGGTCCCACGTCTCTAAAGTGAGCAGCACCCTACATGGTAAGGTGCTCGGGACAGAGCTGAGCGTGCAGGGAGCACTGTGTGTTAGCTAGTGTCGCGGTTTTGAAACTGTTTGTGGGGTGTCCGGCTGCTGCCTCTCTAAGCCAGCTCTACCGAGAGAAGCACACAGCTAACCCACAGCTCTCAAGAATGGTTTAAGTTTGGCTCTCTTAGGAGCTCAATTAAGGGATAGTTAGTACCCGGTTGGCATGTTTTCTGAATAGATAAGCCTTGGCAGTCATTCAGGACACTTACTCCTGTTACTTGACCAACTTAGTGAATAGTTAGGGCTCTTCAGTTTCCGTCTCTGCCTCTGAGTGAAATATAATAGGACCTTCCTAAATTTCTCCAGGGGCCACTGACACAATCTATTTAACTAGGGGAAAAAGCAAAACAAAACCAGGTATCAACAGCAGCAGCAGAAAATCCAGCCACTTGAATACGTCTAGATAATAAGCAAAATTACCCAAACAACTGCCAACCCCCCCCCCAACCCACCACAGGACCGGCTGGAGAAGAAAGTGAGTGTGTTGGGCCATCCAGGGGCGAGCAATGAGGACATAAGACTGTTATAGAGTGTACCCACTGCCTAACATCCTTCCCAGGAATGTGGCAAGATGGCTGTGAGAGAGGAGAGAGAAGGCTCAGCCATTGCCTTCCTATATTTTCTGTCAAGTACAGAACCATTGGTCTTCATGGATAAACGCACCCTCCGGGACAGTCTTGACACACAACTTGCAGAACAAACTGCTGCCCTTCCACAGTAGAGTCAGATCAAATACAGTTCTGAGCCCCAGCGGTGTGGCTTTCATCTACTTTGCCAAGTTACAAGCTCTGCTAACGGGGGCATGACTTCCCTGCTATGCCATTCACCTTTCTTGAACGGTTAATTTGATCTTTGCCAAGATTAACTTTTCATGTCTTTTCTGTACTTGTTCAAATGTTCAGAGGAACTGGTCGAAGGTAAGTGTCTGTCTTTATCTCCTGCGTGTACCTCTTCATGCTACGCTCAAGGCCCTTCACTGTCACACAGGGGCAGCAGAGCATTCTACAAGAGATGACTCTTTGAAGGTCAGATCAGGAACCGGTCAGTTTCACAGAAAACATTTTAGAGCGAGCGATGACAGCAGTTAAGCTTTATGAGTCTATAAAATAGTGAATATTTCCTTGTCAACATAGTTATATCACTGGAAAATGATTAAGTACTAGAAAATGGAGGTGATACTGGTATTTTAGTTTTACTCAGATTTATCTTAATTTTTATTTATATGATATGCTTGTGCAAGTGTGTGCCATGTATACATTGGGTGCTTGTGGAGGCCGGAAGAGGGCATCAGATCCCTTGGAGCTGGAGTTGCAGGTGGTTGTGAGCCACCGACATGGACGCTGGGAACCAAACTCAAGTCCTCTGGAAGAGCAGCAGGCTCTCTCACCTGCTGAGCCATTTCTCCAGTCCCTGGGGTTATCTTTGTGTTGTCAAATGCATTCTTAAAGCAGGCGCAGTGGCATTCACTATAATCGCAGGTGACGGCAGGAGGGTCACCCTCAGCTATCTGGCAAATTTGATGCCAGCCTAGACTACATCGGACCTTGTCATAGCAAATACAACAATTCTTAAAAACAAGGTTAAAGAAAGCAAGTTGAATATGTGAGTTCATCCTGTGAGCAAATGTTCGTATTTGTTACGTCAGTAATCAGAACAGATCTGTTTAAATTGCAAGGGATTTAAATAAAAATAAAACTGAGTTTTATAAAAAAAACTTCTGGAGTTTGTAATTGTATTCCTGAGTTCCAAGTAGAAGCATAACCAGGAGCCTAAATAGGCACTGTGGGGGCTGGGCATCCTCCTCTCCTTTGTCTCAGGGGTTTATGGCCACCATGGGGTCTGTTTATCTTGGTCGCAATCCTTCATTGTGGAAAGTTAAGGCAGGAGCTTAAGGCATCTCGGCACGTCCACGGTCAAGAGAAAACACCTGTGTCCTTGTATGCTGTGTTTAGCTCACTTTCTCCATTCTTACGTAGTCTGGGACACAAACCCAAGGAGCAGTGTCGGGGCTGATGGGTGGTTTTCTCACCTCAGTTAATGTACTGAAGGTGGTTCCCCACAGCTGTCCCCGAAGGCCTGTGTGATCTTGACAGTTCCTCCCGGGTGCCTCTAGATTGTCCCACACAGAATTAAAGCTGCCCATCCCAGCGTTACTACGGGGCCCGCAAGACTGCTCTCTATCTTCAGCTGAAAGCCAAAATCGGCTTGTTTCTTATTTTTGTAGCATCATTGTTTTTAGGATGTGTTTGAAAATACATAACCAGTATTTATGTTTTTACTGTGACTTTTTTTTTTTTTTAAGGCAAGTTCTTAATGTATAGTTCAAGGTGGACACAAAATTGTGGTTCTCCTGTTTCAGCCTCCTGACTGTCGGGACTGTAGGTGCATAGCATGTCCAGTTTCTTTATTACAGCTTTAATCAAGCCTAAAATAGTTTTCTATTCTCAGTCATTCTAGACAGCAGGGTGCTGAAAGAGATTGTACACGAGCAGTGGGATGGAAAGGGAAGAGAGCAGGCCTCTTAAGCTGCCAAGGGTTAAGCAGGCTGCCTGCCGCCTAGAGAGAGAGCATCGCTTGAAACCAGAAGATGAGATCATGCATTTGCTTGTTGTAGTCCTGTCTCTGTCCTCACACATTCTCCCGCTCTCTGTGTTCCAGGTAAAGAGGAATTTGTTGGCAATGGGCAGAAGTTCTTCATTGGTAGGTGGCGGTTGATGAGAGGTGTGTGTTTGTTGCCTTCACGTGCTGTCCCTACTCTCTGGATGCCCTGCTGAAGCTGCCTTTGCTGACGAATCTTTCCAACCTTGTGTCTTGTTCTCACTTCCCTCTGTCTGTTTTGCCTCATCAATAATCTGACCTACTGATGATTCATTGTTATCTAATTTCTCTTGGATATCTTTTTTGTTTGTTTGTTTTGTTTTTCGAGACAGGGTTTCTCTGTGTAGTCTTGGCTGTTCTGGGCTCTCTTTGTAGACCAAACTGGCCTTGAACACAGCAATCTGCCTGCCTCTGCCTCCCTGAGTGCCAGGATTAAAGGCGCATCTACCATGCCCAGCTCACTTGGGTATCTTTCACTCATTTGTCAGACATACGTCTGCTAACTTTTCCCCAGACCGTTCTGTAACCTATCTGTCTTACTCCAGGTAGATCAGTTTCATGGCTATTAAGGTCATCTCTCATGTCAACAGTTTTATGATCTGTCACCCAGGCAGAGCTCTCTGAAGGAACAGACCTCCCTGATGAAAATCACCCTGGACCCCCCTCTTCTCACAGGGCAGGGTAGAGGCCCAGGGCAGCAGTCCAGAAGCTGGGTTGTTGGCCCTAAACCTGGCTGTGCTTCAGGATCACAGGAGGAGAGTTAAGACAAAAGAGGCTGCCTTTGTGCCTTGCTTTCAGAATTATCCACCCCACAGCCATTCTGTAAGCTTTAACAGACTAAGGGACTGTGCAAAGATGGGGAATAAGGAACCCAAGCAGGGCCAAAGGGGATTCTGTGGACAGAGGTGGCCTGGTGCAGTGGTCAGAGTCAGAGAGAACAGCAGCTGCTATATACAGGCTCTGCTAGCCACCAACCTCCACCAAGATGCCCCCAACCCCAGGGCTGTTGCTTCATATAAGTGAGTCTGTTGAAGACAGTGAGAGCCAGGGCGAGAAAGCAGCCACAAATGAGGCTGTACCTGTAGGGTAGCTTTTATATGGTAGATGCTGGCGGAGGCCCGTGGTTTTCAGTATAGGAAGGTACAGATATAAATGTGTTTGTGTGTTTATAGATATGCATAGAGTTTCTGGCTCTGCCTTCAGAGAGGACTTGCAAACAGCTGTGGAAATATCAAGAAGGCTTTTGATTCTGTGGCAGGATAAGGACTCTAAGAATTCAGCCAGGAATAATGATTAAGGGGCCCTAACTTTGTGGATGATGCTACCATCCTGAAGTCTGTACCTAAACTTTCAGAAAAATGGGAACAAAAAGACTACCCACCCGGTGTTTCCACCCTGGCCTCAGAGGCACTACAGTAGCTCCTAACTGCTCTCCCTCAGGCTATCCTTTACCCTCTTTACAGTTTGCACCCTCTCTACAGCAAACCAAGGAATTCTTCAGAAACAGACCAGGCCACAGCCTTGCTGTACAAAGGTCCCTTCCCACATTAAGGCCCTCTGTGATCTAGCTTTGACTCCTTCCTCGGCACCGGATCTCACCACTTTCCTGCTCTTTCTCAAAGGCTCCGAGTGCAGCCCTTTTGCTGTGTCTTGGCGTTTGTTCTGTTCTGCAGATAGCACCTTAGCTGACCCCCTCACGCACTCAGGACACTGCTTATTGCCAGCTGATTTCAGATCCTTTTGCCGAACTGCCTATTCTAATGAGCCACCGTCACTCCCTGACCTCTCACACTTTGCCTGAGTGTTTCCTTTTGTTGTTCTTGTTGAGTTTTTGGGCTTCAGGGAGGATCACCTGGGTTCTTTGGCCTCGTATAGGCCCTGGCATAGATGCCACTTAGAGATACCTTGTGGGACATCACTAGCTGCTGCTCAAGACAAGGGCTCTCTATATGGCTGTCCTGAAACTCACTCTGTAGTCCAGGCTGGCCTTGAACTCAGATCCACCTGACTCTGCCTCAGAGTGCTGGGATTAAAGGCATGTGCCACCAATGCCAGCTTGCTGTCTCCTTCTTGAAGCGGGTACCTGTCCTGGCCTGGCCTGAAATTTTGTGCGTTTCCTCCCTCTTCAGCTGGCTTCCGCCGCAGCATGCGCCTCTGCCGCAGAAAGTCTCACTTCAGCCGGCTACACGCCACCATGCGTTGTACCTGCAGCTGCTACGGCGCAGTGGGCGCCCCTTACGAGGAGGTGGTGAGGTACCAGCGGCGGCCGGCAGACAAGCACCGCCTCATAGTGCTCGCGGGTACGGCTTGTCATGCTCCCTGCTTGGCTCTGGGAAGTTGTTTTTTAGGTTTAATGTCTTGTGTTTGTAACAGTAAACCCAGGACTCTTCATGGATAGCAGTATAGATGTTTTAAAAGCCTGTTTGTCTGCGTTTATAAGACAACTTTCAAAGGCAAGCTTTCTCTGCCTCCTCTTCTCCTTTGACCTGCCAATGAACATGGGATGCCATGATGGGTAAGACCCTGTGTATTAACAAGCTCTAACGCAATGAGGTTATACCTGATTTCTACTTTTATCTGTTAAGAATTTGGCCTAGAAGCATGCATAGTCTACCCCAGCCTGCATTGCTCGTCCATTTTGGACTATATCCTTAAATTCCCTTTCTCTAAGAAATGTGTAGTCATTTTCTTTATAAGATTTAGTATCGTTTAAAGAAGTTATTTCTTTATACGAGTGCTCTAGTTGCATGTACTTCTTCTGCGTGATAGAAGATGACATCAAATCCCATTACAGATGGTTGTGAGCCACCATGTGGTTGCTGGGAATATGAACTCAGTCCCTCTGGAAGAGCAGCCAGTGCTCTTCACCGCAGAGCTGTCTCTCCAGCCCTTGCATTTAGTACCTTTGACCCTAAGGAGCTTGGGTGATCTGGTTTTCTGACCAAGCTCTCTGTGAAGCTGACTCCCGGAAGCAGTAGAAGATTATAACTTGCTGCCATTGAGTTGTCAGCATGTGAGGTTCCGGCAGAACAAAACAGCCTGGCAAGCGGCTCAACCTCATGGCTGTGTCAGACGGTCAGGTAAAGTGCCGAAACCCCTGCTTTCCAGGCGGAACAGCAGGACAGAGTGCAGGCTCTATCACAGCAGGCTCTATCACAGCAGGCTCTCTGCAGGCAATCCCACCTCCAGCAGGACCTGGGGGAGCCTGCTCAACCACCTCATCCCTGAAGGGTGGGGTGGGGTGCGCTACGTCACGGGCCAGCAGGAAATTTCTCAAGAGTTTTCTGGGTCACTACCGAATTTTCAATGAAAAAGCATTTGCTCTCATGTTCCTCTCATGTTCATGAGGGACGGTTGGCAGGTAACCCTGGGTGTCCGTGTCTAATTACTTCTGCTGTGACTTTCTGTGTTCAGGACCCTCTGGCGTGGGAGTCAATGAACTGCGAAGACAACTCATTGGATCGAATCCCAGCTGTTTTCAAAGTGCTGTGCCACGTAAGTTAATTTTTCTTTCTTGGTGGCTCAGGTTTCAGTAAAACTTTGTCTCTGAATGTGCTGATGTCACTCAATGATGTCAGATCTTTTGTTGTAGAAGTGTAATGGCCAGGCCTTAAGTAGTTGTCCCTATTTTTTTTTCTTTTAGTGACTATGTTGGTTAACTGGCATGGAGTACGCTAGGCTGGATGCTCTAAAGGTGACTCTTACACCCTTCCTTTTTAAGTGGAAGGCAGTGGAGGGCTTATGGGAGTTAGTTCTCGCCTTCTACCATGTTGGCTTCTGCGAATCAAATCCAGGAGATCAGGCTTGGTGCGTGTTGCCCACATCCACTAAGCTATCTCCTTGGCTACGTTCTCCCTTTTCCTGTTAGTCATATACATGACTATTCAGGGTATGAAGTATTTTCTGGTAACGATGACCAACATTTGTTTAGTATTTATTACCCTCCTGGCATTATGCTTGCTTGGCCTTTATGTTATTTATTTTATTGAAAGCTTTTAATATTTCCATACATAATTTTATATAAATTTCTAAGTATTGTTATCTTATCCCCGTGGCTTCTGAAAAATCACACCTTTTACTCATAGCTTCCTTACTTCTGCTAAGATTCTGGTTTGCCCTTACTCTAACCTCTGAGAAACAGTCTTTCAGACATTCCTCCATTGCCCACAGAGAGCTGTATATGTGTTTTTAAGCTTTAAGAAATTGGAAAACTTCATGTCAGAGAAGGCCCTGCTCAAAATAAAAAAGAAAGAATGAAATTGGAAAACTGCAATTCTAAAATGTCACTATGTCTTTTTTAATGATTTATTTATTTTTATGTGCATTAATGTTTTGCTTGAGTACAATTCTGTGTGAAGGGGTCGGACCCCCTGGAACTGTAGTTATAAACAGTTGTATAACTGCCATGTGGTTGCTGGGAATTGAACCCAGGTCCCATGGAAGAGCAGCCAGTGCTCTTATCTGCTGAGCCATCTCTCCAGCCCCATTATTGTATATCTTTTTTTTTTTAACTAGGGTTTAATTTTCAATAAATAATTTAAAAAATCATGCCAGAACACTTGCTTATTGTAAAATAGAGAAGATCTGGCTTAAGATCCCTAATTTCAGGGAAGTGGAAGGTGGGATAAAGTTCTGTGTGAGGCACTCAAATGAAAATCTTTAAAAGAGGAATTTGAAAATCTGTCAGGCAGCTCACACATATCGGTATATGAAAGACTCTGGGAGAGAGGTTACCAGGGGTATTCGTGGAGGTTTCATCAGAAAAAGCCTCTCTGTCCGATGGCTCCCAATGAGCGTGGATGGTTCAGAGAAGATGGAGGAGCTCGGGAGACTACGGGGTTTCTAGTGTGTTCCCTGCATACTGGGGGCGCATGAGGCTGCTGTCAGAATTGTGAGGAATACGCATTGCTCCATGGCGGGAGTTTGGAAAGCAGCAGCTGCCCCTGTAGGGTTTGTCAGAGCAGAAGTTTTGAGGTACTTTGCAAGTTTCATATCTGGGCAGATAAGGAGGGAAGAAGTCGGCCTGGGGTCAGCGTAGCGCCTGCTCCGGGGGGAAGTGCCCGGGGAAGCCGCCAGAAGCGGATCTCCAGAGGAAAGGAAGGAGAAAGGAAGGACCGACTGTAGAGACAGGTTTGAACTGGCCAGTTATAGGTAGCACGGTAGGGTTGACAGCGTAATCTAATACGTCATTTAGAGAGAGAAGCAGGTTGAAATAGCTGTCAGATCTGCGGAAGAAAGCTGCGGCCTTGGGGTGAGGCAAGCCGGAACGCCTTTCTGCCCTGCTTTCTCCTCTCTACCCTCTAGCCTTAGAGAGACACAAACTGATGAAGAAAAGGAAAGAGAATCTCGGGAAGGAACTCTTAGTTCTTCACAGGGAGGGGAGTGGAAGGGTCTCCTCTGAAGCAGGGAAGACCAACCTTGTTGCCTGTGGTCCTTTCTGACGGAGTGTGCTTCTGAGGTGTGGCTTACACGCACAGGGATGAACACTGACCTCAAAGAGAACACTGTGAATGCTATCACCACTTTCAGTAGCTAAAAGCAAAGTACCCACAAAATGTAGGCATTAAAGTGCATAAATAGCCACCATTAAAGCAGAAAAAACTTGCGTGTTATTTTGCTTCTGTGCGTGTGTGTGTGTGTGTGTGTGTGTGTGTGTGTGTGTGTGTGTTTTAATGGACACCAGTTTGCAGGGCAGCATATTAGGAAATGGCAATCCAACAGGGGAAACAAAGGGGTCACCCCAGGCACATTAACACAATTCGCTACCTCTTGGGGGCTTTAAGCTTGTTCTCAGTAGGAAACTGCAGGAGAATTTGCCTAAGTGGAGAACCCTAAAGACAGAAGGAGGAGCTTGAATAAAGAGAAAAAAACTACCCCAAGGTGATATCTACTTCCATAGCTCTTTGGAGGTTGCTCACTGAAGGATTATTTCAAGCCCCTTGCATGTCATTTTCATTGCTCTATTCATCCTTAAACTTTGTCAAGTGCAAGAACAGGTTTTTTTTTTTTTAAATTAATAAGGGGAATTTGTTGTAATTGAGGAGAAGAAAGAACAAGCATTGCAGCATGTAGGCTAGAAAATCAGAATGAAATAGTACTCCTGAGTTCTAGAGTCCAGACTAGTACCTGGGTTAAACAGGCGATAAATTCATTAATTGAATAAATAGACAAGAAGCAAATCACTTCTAGGTATTTGGGGAAACTTGTGTATTCTGTACCAGATGCCGCTGAGAGAAAAAAATTGAGGATCTAAACCTAACTTAGAGGTTCTCAACCTGTGGTCGCAACCCCTTTCTGGGGTTTTGTTGAACAACCCTTATGTAACAGGGGTTACCTAAGCCCATCTAAAAACATAAACATTTACATTGCAGTTCATAATAATAGCAACATTACAGTGGCAACAAAAATCATTTTATGGTTGGGGGTCGTCACAACAGGAGACTAAAGGATTGCAGCATTAGGAAGGTTGAGAATCAATGGTCTAAATCAAAGAGGCCACATCAAAGAATCAAATTGACCAATTTCTCCCTTTCTTTATATCTAAGGCCTCCTACCTTGGTATTAGTGCTTTGCCAAGGCTGCAGTCTTTCTCTCTCTTTCAAATCTGAGACAAGCTGTGTAACACAAAACCATCTAGGAGGAAGCATTAGTCTTATAATGTGAGTGAGTTGCTTATGCTCCAAAAGTTACTTATCGGTAAAATATAACATGCCTGGGGAGCAGTGTGAGAGATACAATGATATAATCAGAAGTGCATCATCTAAGCAAAAGACATTGTTAATGTTGTTATGAGGGAGCATATCTGCATTTTGGGCTTCACATTTAGTTCAACATTACCTAAATAACAACAGGTGTTCTCCGGTCTGAGAGTTATGATACATTCTTTCCCATACTACGAACAATCAGGAAAGGTTTGTAATTAGTGTAATTTGACATGGGACTTTCTTATCACCAATTCGAGGTTCCTCTCTTTGGCTCCAGTATCTTATTTGTCTCTCTGTGTTCATTTCTTTGTTTTAGTAGGGAATCTCTGTCCAAGTATATATTTGGTAACAAATAAAAATATTTAGAAGATTCTGAAATTTTACATAATCTTCTTTGGTAGATACCACCCGTTCCCCAAAGAGTTATGAAGTGAATGGACGTGAGTATCACTACGTGTCAAGGGAAACATTTGAAAGCCTCATGTATGGGCACAGGTAAGGTTCCGAACCCAATTCTTTCCTCTGGCTATTTGACAGTAGTTCATTCTTATTCATTAGTCAGCATTCTTGGCAGGAACCCCTCATTTCTGAAGAGTTGAGAAAGGACTATGCATTGATGTGTTAGAACCAAGCAGTCAGGTTGGGGAAGGGGGCAGACGGGCTACAAGCTTCAGAGAAAGGAAGTTTTCTAATTTTTCTTCTGCTGAATAGCCACACATTCTTTTTGTATTGACACACCCCGCGTGTTCTAACCATCTGTGTCCTTGTTCGCTTTCTATTGCTATGAAAAACACTATGACCAAAAGCAGCTTGGGGAGGAAAGGGTTTATTTGGCTTGCACTTCCATGTCACAGGCAATCACTCAGGTGTGTGTGTGTGTGTTGCACACTGGTTTGCTCCTCCTGGCTTTTTCAACTACCTTTCTTACACAACCCAGAACCACCTGCTCAGAGGTGACATCGCCCACAGTGGGCTGGTCCCTCTGACATCACTCATTAACTTAGAAAACACCCTCACAGGCTTGCCTACCGGTAATCTGATGGAGGCCAGCCCTTGGCTGAGATTCCCTCTTTCCAGGTGACTCTAGCTTATGTCACATTGACAAAAAAATTAACAGGCACAATCCGCATAACGCCTGCTGATATTTTACTTGGGGAAGGCTGTTTCCTTTGTCATACTCTTGCAGAATGCTGGAGTACGGTGAGTACAAAGGCCACCTGTACGGAACTAGTGTGAGTGCTGTGCAGGCCGTCCTCGATGAAGGGAAGATCTGCGTCCTGGATTTGGAGCCTCAGGTGGGTCTGTGGTGGAATAGTCCCATCACCTTAAGGTCACAGATGCATGTAACAGTCTATGTTGTGCACATGCACCAGGATACAACTGAGTCACTTTACTCAGACTTTTAAGACGAAGACCACTTCTCACATTGCAGGGCCAGGTTGTCGCTTGAAGTGTAAATTGGCGATATTATGCTTTAGTTGGAGAGAAAGTTCTATTTTTCACACCCAGAACCAGAGCCTAAGGGAATAGCCATAAAAAAGTTCTGATCTTTCCTGCTTTGACACTAGCACAAACTTGTTACGGTGACTTCTGTGGAAGATGTTGCCTTATAGAAAGGTAGCCTCTATGTTGGCATGAAAGTGCTAAGAGCAGAGATGAGCTAGCTGAGGTATGACTGATACTGTTTGTGTAGACCATTTTTCTGATCCTTGCATTATCTTCATTTTTTTAAGAATGTACTTAGCTTCCCCCTGATGGCACTGCCCTAGCAGGCCACAAGGGAGGAAGATGAACCCAGTCCCCATGTGAATAGATAAGCTGGGGTGTCTGGGTAGGGGGGCTCCCCTATTCCAAGGAAATAGGGAGAGGAAGGATGCGGTAGGATGGGTGTGACTGGGAGGAGAGGAGGGAGGGACCTGTGACCGAGATGTAAATTGAATTAATAAAAAAAAAATGTAAAAAAAAGAGAATATACTTTGTGTGCTAAAGAAAATGAAGGGAAAAACAGTATGTTCTTCCCTGAGTCAGGGCTAGCAGTGGTCATTCAGATGTAAATTGTGAGGTATGAGGTGCTGGCTAAAGGAAAGGGAAATAAGGGCAAAAGTTGACCTTTCCTGAATTTTTCTTTGTTTTTGTCATATGAGGTCATATAGAGCAGGGTACTCTTAGTAAGCAGCATTTTGTCATGTGTAAGACTAATTTCAATAGCCAGTCATATCTAGAAATAGGAAGGAGCAGGATCCTAACTTAATTTTGATTCTAGAACCAAATGTGTTAAAATGCTTAGATTTTATAAGAGATCTTCAGTACCTGTGAGCCTGTGATCACGCTGACTACAGAAAGCCGGGACTTCTATTTTTAATTTTTAAAATGGGTATGGTGGGTATGAGAAGGTGCTTGTGTACAAGCCAGAGAAGAACTTCCGGCAGTCAATTCTCTTCCACCGTGGGCTCATCAGGCTTGCAGGGCAAGTGCATCTACCAGCTGAGCCATCTTGCTTGCCCACTTCTGTTCTTTCTTTCTTTCTTTCTTTCTTTCTTTCTTTCTTTCTTTCTTTCTTTTTTTTTTTTTACAATCATGCACTTAATTTTTCTGTGTAGGATATTCAGTTGGCTCGCACCCACGACCTGAAGCCCTATGTCATATTTATTAAGCCACCCAACATGAGCTACATGAGGCAGTCTCGGAAGAACGCTAAGGTTATTACCGACTACTTTGTGGACATGAAGTTCAAGGTAAATCAAGTCAGAATCAAGGAATTGCTTTCAGTTATGGCTAAGTGGGAAGTGGTGGGGCCAGCTTGGCCTCAAGGCCTTTCAATGTCTTCATCTTCACTTGACTCTCTCCTCAGGAGCACTTCAATAGAATGGTTTAAAAAAAAAAAATCACTGTTTTTTCTACAAGGTTTCTCTGAGTAGTCTTGGCTGTCCTGGAACTTGCTCTGTAGACCAGGCTGGCCTCAAACTCACAGAGATCTGTATCTGCCTCTGCCGGCTGAAAGTTTTAATGAGTAATGTCTTTATCATTTATCTTTTTCAGCCTAGCAGTGTTGGCATATGCCTTTAATCCCAGCACTCTGGAGACAGAGGCAGGTGGGTCTCTGTGAATTTGAGGCCAGCCTGGTCTACAAAGTGAGTCCAGGACAGCAAAGTCTACATAGAGAAGCCCTATCTTGAAAAACAAAACAAAAACCAAAATAAAATAAAATAAAAAACAAAATAAAAAACCCCAACGATTTATCCTTTTTATCAGTTGTCACTTACAGATATTAAAATAAGATTTAGCAAATGCTATGATGCTATTTTTTTTTTTTTTAGCTTGACAAAAACAGTCTATTTTCTAAGTCTTTGGGGCTCTTAAATTTGTGTCCTGTTGGGAATGGTGGCACATACTTGAAACCTAAGCACTTGGGAGGATGAGGCAGGAGGATCACAAGTTTAAAGCAGGCCTGGGTTACATAGCAAAACTCTGCCTCGAAAATCCAAAACAAGAAAAAAAAGAGAAAAGGGGATGGGTTGGGTAGAGGAAAAAATAGGGGACACATATTTGATATAACTGTTTTTATAGCCTCACACCTTTGCCAGTGTAACACCTCATGTGTTATTGCCGGTGCCGTTCATATTTTTTTTCAATCTCTCCTGAAGGATGAAGACCTACAAGAGATGGAGGAGTTAGCCCAAAAAATGGAGAGTCAGTTTGGCCAGTTTTTTGATCATGTGATTGTGAATGACAACTTGCAAGATGCGTCTGCCCGGCTGTTGTCTGCCATACAGAAGGCCCAGGCAGAACTGCAGTGGGTCCCGGAAGCTTGGGTTTCCCCCGGAACCGAGTCTTAATCAAGTCTCCCATTTAAAACTGGAGCCTCAATATCATGTCTGAAAGATCCAGAAAACAGCAGTATCTGGCCGGGGATGGCGGTCCTCGCCTTTAATCCCAGCACTCAGGCAGCAGAGGCAGGCAGATCTCTGTGAGTTCAAGACCAGCCTGGTCTTGTTCTGAGTCCAGAACAGCTGGGCTGTTACACAGAGAAACCCTGTCTCAAAAAACAAACAAACAAATAAAAACAACAAACAACAGTATTTGATCCATTAGAACTGCAACTATCAAGTGATGCAGCTTATTGTATGGCTATAAATAGATTGTATGGAGCTATTTATTTGGCACTCAGGCAATTTTCCCACGGTTTCTCTATATGAACTCATGGTAGCAGTGTGAATAATGTTAAGTCTCTGAATGCGAGATTATTCATGTGAGAATTACAGATTTCATGTGCTTTGTAAGATTTAGCTTTTACAAACCTCTTCTAAATAAATCAGACAATAGCTAATGACAGAAACCGTATTTTACCTTGTGAAATATTGTCTTATTTCTGTTTATTTTTACAAAAGTGCCTAGTTGACCAACTCAGCAAGAATGGTTAACGCACACATCTAAAAAGGAAACCTATGACACTTATTTCCAAATCAGCAACAATGGACTAGTCCTGGGGGCCTGTATATGTGCAAACTCCAAAATGAGGGTGTTGTCTGTTCATCTTCTTTATGTCCACACTTGCTTTTTGAGAACCTGCTTTTCCAACTGTTCCCATTGAAGAAACTATCAGAACTGCACACATAAATTACACTCCCAGGCCAGCAGGGTGGCCGGGAATCTGGGATGAGCTGTAGGGCTCGCCCTCCAGGCAGCGCCCTGGCAGGCGGGAAGCACGCCTGGGGGTTGGGGGGCCTCACCAGGCTCCCCAAAGCCGCGCCTCCCTCCTCCCGTAGGTCCCGGGAGGCCTCAGGCTAGCCCTGCGGAAAAAGCACCACGAGGGTCGACTCGGGGCTCCCTGGAGGAGGGCCGTGGGGTGAGCGATGAGGGGCGCACGGCTCGAAGTGTAGGGCGCCCTAGCTTGCAGTGAGCACCGCCGAGCCGGGAGTGGGGGGTGCGGGGGGACAGTACCCCGACCAGGCGTCCAGTCCTACCCAAGATCCCCCGCCTTAGTCTGCGTTGCTAAGGCAACGCCTCCCGCCGGCTCCGGGCTGCCAGCGAAAGGAGGCTGTTTCCGGCGGGGAGTTTGGATCCGGATCTGGTGGGGCCGTGCCCATCCTCGCGCAAGCCGAGATGATCTCCCCGGAAGCTGTGGGTGAACCCCCTCCTCCCGACGCCGAGGCTTTCCCTTTAGGCTTAGTTTGAAGGCTCTCGGATGGGTCGCCCCAGAACCTCCCGCGCGAGGGGTGGCGGCGCTGCGGGCCCGGCAGCCCGGGAGGGGCGGTGCGATGACGCTCTGCGCCTGCGCCGGGGCGGGCGGGGCGGGTGCAGAGCCCTGAGCTCTGCCTCGGCCGCCGGAGACGATGGGGAAGAAGCAGGTGGTCGGCGAGCCTCAGGTACCATTGAGCTGCTGTGGCTTTCGCCTTCTGTTGAGCCGTCCTGGCTTCGAGGGGCTTAGAGTTGCGGTTTCTAGATGGGCGAGGTGGGTCAGGTTTTTTTTTTTTTTTGTTTTTTTTTTTTTTTTTTTTTTTTTTTTTGCGGGACTTTTGAATCCGCTTGCATCTTGTTTTCTAGTTGTCATTTTGACTGCTGGAGAGCATTGGGATATCCTTCAGGGTCCTGACTCTGTAGCTTTTTCGCGAATCTGTTTGAATGAATACAACAACGGATTGCGAAATGGGGCAAACGAGTGTCTAAAACGTAAGCCTTTGGAATCAGGGTCTTGTGTAAGCAGCATGAGGCACTTCAGACACTGAATTAACTTCTAGACACCGATGTTAGCATTCAGTTCTTTTCAAGATTTGTTTTATGAGTGTTTTGCCTGCGTCTGTGTGCACCACTTATGTGCCTGGTGGCCGCAGAAGCCAGAAGAGGCTGCCGGTTTTCCAGGAACTGGAATTACGGCTGTGAGCTGCTTGTGGGTGCTGGGAACTAAACCGAGGTCCTCTGCAAGAGCAACAAGTGCTGTTAATGGCTGGGCCATCTCTTCATTCTAATATGAGAGATTTCAGAAAGCTTCTTAACTAATGCTCCCAGAACTTGCAAGCAGGACTTCTTACTCAGGTAGAGCAGTGTCAGTTATACCCCAGCCCCAAAACTTCTGCTCTAAAATGTTTTCTCCCTCCCTCCCTCCCTCCCTTCCTTCCATCCTTCCTTTCTCCTCCTTTTTTATTTATTTTACATATGAGCGCTCTATCTGCATGCGTGCCTGCATGCCAGAAGTGGGCATCAGACCCCCTTATAGATGGTTGTGAGCCACCATGTGGTTGCTGGGAATTGAACTCAGGACCTCTGGAAGAGCAGACAAAGCTCTTCTGCTGAGCCATCTCTCCAGCCCTTAAAATATGTTTTCTATTTCTAGTTAAGGTAAATTTTTAAAACAGCATGCTACTTTGTGGCATAAAACCTTAGCTGGCTTTATACTTAGTAAAACAAAACCCACATTCCTTCCCTTGCCCTGCAAGGCCCTAATTAATCTGGCTTCAGCCTTGCTGTCCTTTGTAACTGTGCTCCAGCCTTCTTGCCTTTTTTTTTTTTTTTTTTTAAGACCAGGCTGGCCTTGAACTCACAGAGATGAGCCTGCCTCTGTCTCCCTTAGTGCTGGGATTCCAGACAACCACTGTGACTGATGTTGTTGCTTTTTTTTTTTTTTTTTTACCTGGAGCCCCTGGTACCCAGTCTTTCTTGAAAACCTTAGCATTTGCTCCTCGTTGCCTGTGATTTTGGCTCGAATGACCTCAGAGAGACTTTCCCTAAGTTGCAGCTTTCATTCCTTGTATATAGATATGATAAAGTATCTATGCACATATATGGTATGGCCTAGTTTTTTATGCATATGTAACATTATCTTCCAATACTCAGCCACTAATGGAAGTTCTGTAAAGGGAGGTGAGCTCTATTTTGATCCTATTCTGAATGCTTTTAATAGGCCAGATTGGTGGGCTGAAATGTAAAAAGAAAAGAAGTTTACATGGGATGTAGAAATGAAAGAACAGATCTAAACTCAGGAGTAAACTCAGTTTACATCACCACCTCCCAGGTGTCACTGATAAACAATTTTCAAAAGATTTGACGATAATTACTGATCCATTTAATTTTGTCACACCCGAACAATGAGCTTTAAAAGAGCAGCTTTGTGGTACTTGAGGTAAATGAAGGTAAGATGCACCAAGCTTTTATTTATGAGATTTTTTGTTTCTCCCTCCCCCATAGCTTCCTCCACGAGCCCTTCCGCCTGTGCCAAGGTAAAAATAATTTACAGCCGTTTCATTATTGAAGTTTAAAAATGTAAAAAAAGTGGAAAAATTGAATAGTATGGTTCAAAAAATGTAATGCTTCGGGGGCGGGGGGGGGAACCTTCCTGGAATTTTTAGGAAAAGTCTTCCTAAAAATTTAGAGGCAAAAATTAAATTTGAGTCATGAGAGTAATTGTTATAAGTAATTAGCTAGAAAAGCCTTAGTCCAGCATGCTAGAATAACGAATCTGTTCTGAATGTGCTAGTGTCCTGTTTACCAGACTTCTCCCGAGCCCCTGGTGCTTGTGAGGATAGTTCCGTCAGAGCCTAAGCTGATTACCACCAGACAAAGATGAGTTCTTAATCTGCTTAGTCCCTTTAATTAACAGACAGTAGGGAATATATATTTGTGCCTTCCAGATATTATTTAGCAGTGCTATTAAACAACATACTACTTACAGATAATAAGTTAGTTTATAAACCAGCAGACAGGGATGTGAGAGCTAGTTTTATTTTTCAGGTTGTAACAACGTAAGTCAATATTCAATCAAACAATAAAGTAGATGTCTAATTAAACTTCTTTCTTTCTGTCCTGCTGATTACATTTGATTGGGCTCATGTGAAGTGCTATTCAAGGTGAGTGAGTTTACCCTGATGTAAAGGATCCTGAATGTAGTATTTGGTGTTCTAAAAAAAGCATGAAAATAAGGGTAGTGGTGTGTACTTCCGTTGGGAAGGCAGAGACAGGGGGACTGAGCTTGAGGCCTGCCTAGACTGCCTAGGAGGAAATGTGGAACCTGGGGACAGTGGCAGACACCTATAGTCCCCACTTATGGGCTGAGGGAGGAGAGCCGCTTGAGCCCAGGAGAAGGTCAGCATGGGCAGCAGTCAAACCTGGCCTCATTGTTATTATTATTTGATTTGCTTCCTTAGTTCTACTGAGAACTGGATGTGATGCTATAAAATTACAGTGCCTGCTTGTTACCACAGTGTCCTGTGACTGCTATTTTAAAGTGATGTCTGATCTACAGTAACAGATGCTCTTTGCAGTCCCAAAGTGTACCCCTTGGCTTGCTCATAGCTCTGTGATAGACTGTACATTTTCTCCTTTAGTCAGGGTAGGCAGCTAACAACTCCAAAATTTTTATTCACTCAATATCTTGCAAGTCTGTTAGAAATAACACAAGGTCGGACCACCAGGATGGCTTAGTGTTGAAGGCACCTGCTGCTAAGCCGAAAACCCGAGCTTGAGTCTCAGAACCCACACGGAAGAGGAAAGAGCTGACTCCTGCAACTTGTCCTCTGACATCTGCATATAAGCTGTGGTGTGCACATTTCTATGCATGTAGGAGCATATGTGTGTGTACGCATACATGGGCGCGCGCACACACACACACACACACACACACACACACACACACAAATATAAATGTTAGGTTTTTTCTTTGAACTAAAAAACCAGGGGCTGGAGAGATGGCTCAGAGGATAAGAGCGCTGGCTTCTTCTCCTAGAGGTCCTGAGTTCAATTCCTAGCAACCACATGGTGGCTCACAACCATCTATAGTGAGATCTGGTGCCCTCTTCTGCCCTACAGGCACACATGCAGGCAGAATATTGTATAAATAATAAATAAATCTTAAAAAAAAAAAAAAAAAAACAAAACCCAACTAGGTTAATTGCAAAGTTCGCTGGGCAGCAGTCCAGAGCAGCTGCTTTTGTTAATGATGTTGTGAGACCGAGTCTGCTTTTGTCCCATGGTTCTGACATTCTAAGACAAAGCTTCCTGCTTTGACATGCAGCTGGCACATATGTGACACCTGTCCCTTCTCCCATTCAAGTACTGACAGGGCTACACCCTGCTTAGGTCCTGATGTCAACAAGATCAGGTACCTTCAGTGCTACAGACAGACACACAAACCGTCTGTCTGTTCAGCCGCCTGGCCAGAACCAATCTAGACTGTACCTCAGTCCAGGGGCTAGAGACTGTATGGGACCACTTTGAGACAGGGTTTCTCTGGGTAGCCCTGTTTCTCCTGGACTTGCTTTGTAGACCAGGGTGGCCTCAAACTCACAGATATCCACCTGCCTCTGCCTCCCAAGTGCTGGGATTAAAGGCCTGTGCCACCACGCCTGGCTAGATGGACATTTCTTTATTTCTTTTATTTTTTTAATACTGTATTATTTCATATGTATGAGTATTTTGCCTTCATCCATGTCTGTGTGCCACTTGTGTTCCTGGAGGCCAGAAGAGGGCATCAGATCTCCTTGAGCTGGAATTACAGATGGTTGCGAGCCACCATCTGGATGCCCGGAATGGAATTAACTTAGGCCGTCTGGAAGAACAGTCAGTGCACTTAACCATTGACAGTCTCTCCAGAACCCTTACTATCTTTTTTTTTTTTAAATAATTTATTTAATTTTATTTTATGTGCATTGGTGTGAGGTCCCTTGGAACTGAAGGTACGGACAGTTGTGAGCTGCCATGTGGGTGCTGGGAATTGAACCTGAGTTCTTTGGGAAAAGGCAGTGTTCTTAACCACTGAGCCATCTTTGCAGCCTCCAAGGTAGACATTTCTTGAGGCCACTTTCTAAGTCACAGTTGTAAACAGCACTGAGCAGCAGGATGCTGCTGGCACCACAGTGTCAGTTGGCCCTGTCAGTTTCTTACCTTTCCTCCCCTCATATGTAAACATTGGTTGGCTCCAGAGAAGGGAGGGAAGAGTCTTCCTCAACAGAAGTCTGTTCCGGCTGATTCTCTGCCTTTGTTGTTCTTTCTGTTTTATAGATGATATTCCACTTAGTCATCCTAAGAAAAAGAAATCCAGAACAAAAAGCACACTAGGTAAGGCGGTCTGTGTTAGGGGAGGTCATGGGTTTTCCTGGGACCTTAAGGATGGTCAGCATCACAAAGTACAGAGAGCGAAGGTGCTGGGCCGCCAGATCACTAATATGTTGGGGCAGGGGTCAAGGCTATGGGTAGCCTGGAGACCAGTTAGCTATGTTCACAGAATAAAGCACTGTGCCACCTACGCTTCGCGGTCACAATGTTGTCAGGTTTCCTGGGTCTGGTCCCTAGATAACGTAGGTAGTTTGAAGCTCCACTTGGTTCTAGATCCTTGAGCACAATACTAGATTTAGAAAGTTAAGGGATTTTTAACTCTCCCATTCTGTGTTAGAGCAAGACCCTGAAGGCAGGGCCGCATCGCCCATTCAAGCTTTAATAACAAGCAGGCCCATGAAGCCCTTTTCCCAGAGCTGCCTAACTGGTAGTCCTGCAGGGTCTGGTAGTAACTCAGACTCAGCACACGTAGAATTCATCGCCCCCAGCAGGCAGTTTTTGGTTTTCACCATTTTCCTAGTGGGCCTGAAACCTCAAGCGTCACCCTTAGTTGGTATCTTAACTTCACTCTTTATTATGGCTTTTTTGTTTTGTTTTCTTGTATAAAAGGAACCATTCTATAAGTACTGGCTTTTTATAGAGCTTTCTAGGCATCCTGAAGCGGTGACTTTGTAGTATTATAATGTTAGTTAATCTTTATATTACTGTAATTATTCTACTTAAAGATTTCAGCCAGAGACTGTTGTAGTTCTGCGTACGGTAGTGGGTGTTGGGGCAAGTGTACCAAGGGTGGCCAGCAGTGGGAGGATTTGTGCTGTTGACTATATGGGCTCTGCTAACTTGCCTGCAAGGACGTTTCTGTCATTTTCTGCTATCATAAAGCATTGGAGCATCACCTTCTCTAAATCCCTCATGAAACAGAACAATGTCAGCCATTAATTCAGTAGTTTATTTTCAATTTGCATTTCTCAGCCATAGGAGAACCCAGCCCCGCTCTCCCCATGCTATGCAAATGACCTCTGCCCCCACATCTCAAGCCCAGAGTTGACCTTCCCTAAATACTAGTGAGGCTAAGAATAGTCTCCCCCTTTTTTTTTTTTTTTTTTAGCATATTTTTAGTTTTTGTAGGCAGAAGAAGGTAGTCAAGAATGATTCAAATTTTCTAAAGATGTTGAAATTTGGTTAAAAGGTTTCATTAGGGGAAAAGTTGAGACTCCTGAATGACCCAAGTTATTAATTCATGATGACTTCATCACAGGCTAACTTACTAGTGAAGGAATGAGCTGTGGAGGCTGATACAGGCCTTCGGGCAGGGACAAGAGTGCTGTCTGCATCAGTTTAATTTGTTTGAACCTTTGAAAGCTCGGAATGCTCCGAAGCAGTTTCTCCTCCTCTCCCCTCTTCCTCAGCTTTTCTCTTCCCGTGTTTATTTCTTTTCCACCATAAAGCCCGAAGTTAGAGGTGAGGAGGCACAATGTCATTATCGAGGTACGGTTCAGGAAAGAGAAGGTGTTGATATGCAGAGAGCATCGTGGGTCTCTTTGTCCCATCTTTCTAACTCTGCTCGGGTTGACACCTTCATCTGCTGTCTTCCCGCAGCTACGTCTTCTTCGGAAGGCCTTGCTGAGCCTGCTGCTAACAGGTGGTCTGAGAGCAGTGAGCCTCCCGCTGTGGAACCCAAAGCCTACCCAGAAGCTCCTGTTCAAAGGAGACAGAAGAAGATAAGACCACCTCCCGGTATGTGGGGAAACCAAGATGGGGGCAGAGGATGGGATTTCGGACCTTATTTCTGTAGATGGGTTCTTGCTTTCTTCCTTAAAATACCCATCGCTTCAATGCCAATGACGCAGACCCCTTTTCAGGTCTCTTTGGTGATGTATATGTAGGATATGAGAGAAGAAATAAAAATAAAAAATCAAAAATCAGGCCTAAGACAGAAAGCTCCGATCTCGGTGCACTAAGAATTTACTAAATCAATGGCCATTTCAGGTTAATAGAAATAAGATGAATTCTGTACTAACAATGATCTAATAAAGCAACAGTCACTATTTACTGCTTATCTGTCACTCAGGCAGTGCTCTCAGTGTAAACAAAAATGTGTGTGTGTGCACGCGCGCTCCTATCAAGTTGGCAATGCTATTTGATTTTTAAATTTGAAACTGTTGTGTTTAGTTGAGCAAGTACATACTTGTAATCCCAGCACTTACAGGCTGCAGGAGGGAGGAGCTTTGCAAGGGTTAGGACATCTACATAATGAGTTCCAGGCCTGAGTGACAAAGCAAGAGCTTGTCTTGAAAAAGACTACAGTAAAAAAAAAAAATCCCATGCTAATGGGAACGGGCACACCCATACCAGGATAGGAGCATACATCGCCTCGGCCTGTCCAGATGTCTAAGGCGAGAAGCAGCTGTGATGCTTGATGCACTCCAAGGTAGAAATGGGTAACAACCCGAACGCTGTGATCCTGGCTGCACAGTCACAATGTATGTAAACAAGTGTGAAGCGAGTACTGGTTGGGAGGATAGGTCAGGTGAGCTAGTGTCCTGGGAAGCCGTCTACCCAGCATCGTTGACCCAGCAACAAAGCTTATGAATCGGTATGCACTGGAAGGATGTCGCTTTTATAAGAACACACTTTAGTAACTTCCTGTGCTTGCTGTAACGCATTACCATAACCTGGGAGACGTCAAACAACCATCATTTATTTCTTCATGGTTCTAAAGGATAGAAGTTCAAAATCAAGGAGTCCACAAGCCCAGGCTTCCTCCAGACGCTCTAGGGGATGCCTTCCCTGCCCCTTGAACTCCCGGCGGTGACTGTGGATGCATAATACCATCTCCCATCTCCCTGCCATCTCCCATTCTTCTCATTTTGTCTGTTTCCCCAATTCTCTTCATGTAAGACAGCAGTCATTGGATTTAGGGTCCATCCTCACCCAGCATGACCCTGTCTTAACTTCTTTATGTCCACAAATACTCTATTTACAAATAAAGTTTTCAGGTTCTCAGATTTATGACTTGCCTATGTGACGGCACATGCCTGTCTTCTCAACACTTTCGAGGCTGATGCAGAAGGACCATGAATTCCAGGTCACTGTGGGCTAAGAAGTGAGACCCTGTCTCAAAAAGACAAAACACAAAAGAAGAGAAAAACCTAACCAGCAAAAAGTCCAAATCAAAAAACAAGGCACCAAGGAGAATCAGACCAAAGGAAGTTTGGGCTGTGGGCAACCTGTCACCGCCATTCTGAAATGCACTCAGCCCTTCGCATTTAGCCCAGGTTTTAGTTTTGTTTTCTTGTTTGTTTGTTTTAATTTTATTTTCTTCTGAGACAGGGTCTTGTGTAACCCAGACTAACCTCTGATGGGTAGCTGAACTTCCAGCCCTCCTTCCCCACCACCTCCCGGCTGCTGGATTACAGCGCCCACACCTGCCCTTTGCAGTGCTGGGGACTGAACCCAGGGCCTTGTGCATGCTAGCAAGCACTCTGGCAGCTGAGCTCCATCCGTAGCCACAACTTCTGAAGGTTTTACAGCTCCGGTTCTTGTGGTTTACCCAGAATGACCACTGTGTACTGTTCTATCTATATTGGCTCTCTAGTCAGGCTGTATTTCACCAAAGTGGAATTTGAGGTGTTGAGCCTGTCTTGGGGAGCTGGTATTATCAGACGGGAAGCATGGCTAGTGGTTAGATGGCTGTGTTGTTGACCTGTTTGAACTTGATGGCTGCCAGGGTCCGTGTGCTCTGAGAAAACCTGCTTGCTGTGTTTTGGCCTGTTTGGGAGACCTGGATGATAAACAGTTCCCAGAGTCACACCAGGCTGTACTAACCGGTAGGGGCGGCTCACTGCGCCTTTGTCCACGTGCTGTAGTTTATGAACACCCGCCTCCCTCCTGGGACTCCGGGAGTTCGGTAAGTGTAAGTGTGTGACTAGCTGTCAGGTAAACCCTGGGGCTTTCTAATGAGCTTCCCGCACAAGTCTCTCGAGTTGCCATAACTTGGTGCTGGAATAACAGGCATCCGGTTCGGCTCTGCTGATGGAGGACTGTCGGGCGCTGGACCCGAGTCACCTGGGTCTGCTCTGTCCACTTTTTCCTTTTGCTGATTTTGCTTTTGTTCTTTCACGGTAATAACCTGTAACCGTGAGTACAGAGACTTCTGAGTGGTGTGCAACCTGCCCGAGAGGTGCCAAACCTGGAGCTACCCCAAATCTGGAGATTAGTGTTTTGTTTGGTTTCATTTTGTTGGGGCAGGGTCTCACTGCGTGGCCCTGGCCAGCCTGGAGTTTTACTATGTAGTCCAGGCTGGCCTCAGATTCACAAAGATCTGCCTATCTCTGCCTCTGAGTGCTAGGATTAAAAGAAGGCACTGCCACACTGGCCAAGTTTTTCAGTTAAAAATTTTTACTCTTCTATACTTTAAATATATAATTTCAAGTTTTCAAGTCACCCAATATGGAAAAAATTAAAAAAAAAAATCCTAGCTAGGCATGTTGGCATACATCTTTAGCAGAGAGTTCTCTGAGTTTAAGGTTAACCTGGTCTACATAGCAAGTTACAGGGCAGCTAAGGCTACATAGTGAAACCCTGTCTCCACCAGCTACACTGCCCTTAGTAGAAAATAATCGACCAAATTAAAATCTTAAGGTTATCCTGTATAATACAAAAGCTGTGTATTGTTTTTCTTTCTGCCGTGTGGTCGTGGGACACATCTTATTTTCAGAGCCGGAGACTTCTTTCACTGAAAAGCCACCTGGTCCATCCTTACTGCGGAATGAAAATGGCATCGATGTGGAGCCTCGTGAGGAGGCGGTCCTTCCGAAACCTCGAAGAAAGGCAAAGTAATAGTTTATTCACTGTTCGAGCCCCTCCTTGGAGCCAGGGCTGGTGTTTCATATAGAGATCCCAAAGAGTAGCTCCTCGCTGGGGCTTAGCAAACGCTATGTCTGTGTGTGTCAGGACAAGTTACGTTACAGAAATGAGCTGATGTGATGAGGAATTTGAAAAGAATAACACTAAAAAAAACCCAAAGAATAGTGTGTAGAAATAGCATAAGGACTCATCTCTAAAAAAGCACAAGACAGTATTTTCATAGAAGTTGCAAAATGTGAGGTAAAGATTAATAATTAAAGATAAGCTACTATGACTCATTTTTTCATGTTAATGGAAGTTAAATTGAGGCATTTTACAATAAGCATAACCACTGTGTTTTAACATAGAAGATTAAATTCATATAAAATACAATGGTATACTTTAAAAATATGCTGGAAGTTATATAACATTAATGTGTATACTTTGCGTCTGCAAACAATAAGCAGGTACATTTGTAATTTTATGATTTTATGTCAGGAGAAATCTAGCCCAGTCAGTGACTGTTTCCTAGATGAGAAAACCGAGTTCCACAGAGATGTGGGCAGTTACTAACAAATCTATTTGAGTAAACAGCATTTTTTGTTTTCACTCCAAGTTCAGGACTCTTTCCATTATATTCAGTGGGAATTTCTTACGTGGGTCTTTAAAAATTCAAGCATTACCTATTTTCTTAAAGATTGCCCCTGATTTCAGGAGAACCCAGCCAGCGGAACTGCAGTATGTGAATGAGCTGGGAGTAGAAGATGAAGACATAGTGACAGAGGAGCAAAGCGCCCTGGAACAGCAGTCTAGGTTCACGGCGCCCACTGGCATTAGCCAGCCTGTTGGCAAAATATTCGTGGAAAAAAGCCGTGAGTAGTTTCTTGTTTTGGATTTCAGTTGCGCTAAATACTATACATGGATCTCTTTAATCTGGTGATTATAGTTCTGATGACCTGAATGAAGGAAATAATAAAAATTAGTAATGAAAATTGACACCCCAAACTAATCACTACACTATTTTTCCCCACTGGATTTTATTGATTGAAAATATATTTTTTCCATATATTATATTCTTATTTCAGTTTCCCCTTACCCAGCTTAGGTGTTAACCTGAAGTAACAGCATCTCGCTCCTTCGAGACAGGATCTCTCACTGGGCTGGAGCTCACCAAGCGAGGCCAGCTGGTCATTAGGCCCCAGCAACTGTGCCTCAGAATGCTGGGGTTCATTCCAGGCATGGCCGCCTGCCCAGCAATTTTAGGTAGGCTCTCGGGATCAAAGTCTGGCCTTTGTGCTCGCAAGGCAAGCATTTTGCTAACTGGGCCATCCCTCATCCCCTCTTTTTTAGAGCGGTGTGACCTAGTCATTTTTATTCTGTTTCCTTCATTTGAGTAACTGATAAAGGCGTGCATGGTTCTGTTAACTATCCAATAAAAAAAAATTTTTTTTTTGAGAAAATTATTCTTTCATCTCTCAAAATATCTGAGCAGTGGGTTCTGTGAGGGTAATGGGGATGGAGTCTTGTCTGCTTCTTGATCTGTTTCTGGGTTGCAGCTCCTAAAGAAGAACCCCCTAGCCATAGTGCAGGTGTGACACCCCCACTCCACTCCCGCACCTCAGAACCTTATGAAGTACCCCACTTCCCTCCTGCCGGTTCAGAAAGCTGTGCCCCACACCCCGACATCTTTCCCAAGAGTCCTAAAGAAAGTTTCAAATAATAGCTTGCCTCGATAGTGTAAACATATTACATTTTTAAGAAATGATTTCTTCTTAAAAACCTATTTTTTATTTTATGTGTGCAAGTGTTTTGCTGAAGTGTACTGCACGTGTGTCTCATGCCTGCAAAGGTCAGAAGAGGGCATGTAGCCCTTAGAGCTGGAGGCTCAGCGGCTGCACACCACTGTGTAGGTGCCGGGGACTGAACCCATGGCCTCTGTAAGCGCGGCAAGTGCTCTCAACCTCCGAGCCATTCCTCCAGGCCCCAGCGTTCCAGTGTTAATGTTCCCCAAGTCTCTACAGTACTTCCAGGTCATGCTAGAGGCTTTGACATCTAATTCTGAGTTGGAAGTTTATTGTTGTATTTTATTAAATACAGTTAACGTATTAAATATACTTGATTCGTAAAATCGTTATTTTGACATTGGCTTTGGGTTGAGAAGAAAGCTAATTCACATTATATTTTTTAAAGATGAAGAAATGATATGTCTGAGCAGCCAAAGGTGAAAGAAAAGGAAAAAAGTTACAGTCAAGGCTAATTTTTAGATTACAAAAATTATCAAATGTCAACCTTAGTTTCAGCCCTCCTTTTAATTTTTTAAGCATGGGTGCTTGTGCAGGAAGCCTGTGAGGTCAGGACAAACTCTGTGGATGTGGTTCTGCCCCTCTGCCTCTGTGTGGATCTAGTGGCCACACTTAGGTCAGCTGGCTTGACCCGAGGCAGCATCTTTACCTCAGCAGCCACCTCTCAGGCTCCTTTTTATCCTGTTAAGAGTTTATTTCAATTAATTATATATGTTTGCGTCTGAATCTGTGTGTGGGTATGTGGGTGTGTGTGCAAGTGCCTGTGGAGGCCAGAGGGGCCAGATCCTCTGGACCTGGGTTTGCAGATGGGACCTGAACAGATCGTCCAGTGATGCCCCTGGACGATCACTCTTGCCTGCTGAGCCCTGCTGAGTGTCTTCAGCCCTGGCCTGCTCTTACAACAGAGCGCCACGGAGCCAGGCGGCCGGGACTCCAGTGCTGGTGGCACAGGCTCGCACTGTTAGGCTGGCCGAGCGCTTACCTGCACAGTGGGTTCTTCTTGCCAGTCATGAGTAACGTGCTCTCTGTTCTGCACTCCCAGGGAGATTTCAGGCAGCAGACCGTTCAGAGTTGATAAAGACCACAGAAAACATAGATGTGTCGATGGACACGAAGCCGTCCTGGACCACCCGAGATGTGGCACTTTCGGTACATCGAGCTTTCAGGTGGAGCCTTCTGTTGATGCTTATTAAGCAAATGTTAACCAGATTTCATTACTTAAGACAAAAGAAAAAAAAAAGTCTCGGCTATTCCATACTTTAGACAAAATTGAGGATTTAGCATGGCGTATAGATTTATTTTTGTAGACATTCCACATGTTCTCGTCATAATAGGTTAACGTTTGTTATATTTGAAGAGATTTTAAAATACCTTAGCTTTTCATTGAGCGACTGAGAGGAACTTCAGCCCTTCTCTTTGCAGGATGGTTGGTCTGTTTTCTCATGGCTTCCTGGCTGGCTGTGCTGTGTGGAATGTCGTTGTCATCTACGTTCTCGCGGGAGAGCAGCTGTCGAACCTCTCCAGCCTTGTGCAGCACTACAAGCCCTTGGCGTATCCGTGCCAGAGCCTGCTCTACCTGCTGTTGGCTCTGAGCACAGTCTCAGCATTTGACAGGTAAGGCTGTGTGGGCCCTCTGCCTTCCTGCAGGAAGAAACCGGCGAGCAAAACGTGTTACTAACCATGACTCTTCAAGACAGGACTGCAGCGTGGGAACGCTGTCATTTTAAAACCAGCCTTTGGGTTAGCACGGCCTTGTCTTAACTTCGCTGTGTGTGCAGAGATCCTGTTTCCAAATGAAGTCACCTTGTAAGTGCTATGGTTAGACCTTCAGCACTTATCCTGGGGAACACAAGTCAACCCATTTAAAAAATAAAAAGAAGTCAGTAGGCTGGAGAGATGGCTTAAAGATGGTGGGTAAAGATGCTGCTGGCGAGCCTGATGCCCTGAGTTCGCTACCCAGGACCCACAAGGTGGGAGGAGACAGCCAGCTCCTGATAGTTGTCCTCTCCCTGCACATGTGCACCCTAGCTTGAGGTGCGTGTGCGTGTGTGTGTGTGTGTGTGTGTGCGCGCGCGCGTGTGTGCATCCGTGTACCCACCTGACCACACAAGCTAAATAAAATCAGACACGTGCACAGAATCCTGCCTATGTATTGTTGTCGCAGTTTGCTTCTCTGTGTCTGCGATAAAGCACTGACCAAAACAGCGTGGGGAGGAAACGGCTTCGTTTACCACACATGTCCTAGCCCCTCTTCAGGGGAACCCACAGCAGGAGCTCAACAGGGCAGGAGCCTGGAGTCATGACCTGAAGCAGGGGCCGTGGAAGACCGCCCTTACTGGTTTACTGCCCATGGCCTTGCTCAGCCCCCTTTTTTAAAAACACAACCCAGCGCCACCTGCCCCAGGGACAGATTACCCACGGTGAGCTGGGCCCCTCCACATCCATTCTTAAACAGGAAGGTGCTCCCGTGGAGCTAGCCTACAGGCCAGTCCTCTGGAGTCATTTTCTCAGTGGAGGTTCCTCAGCTCCCAGACGACTAGGTCGCATTGACAAACACTAACCAGCACTGCAGTCTAAGAGTCTGACAGGAGGAGGAGGAAGCTAATGATTTTTGCAGATCAGGATTAAATTGTTTCTTCATGTGTTTTGATACCAAGTAGTCTTTGTGTTAGATATCTTCCGCGGCCTTTAAGGTAGACACTCTCGTGTTTAAGTTTAAACTTTAGCTCCTTAGAGACGGAAGGGACGGTGGCCCTGGCGGTGGGAGGCTAGAGGAGGGAAACCAGCAAGGGGAGTAAGGCTGGTTACCTTCGAGCTGCACGGTGACGCCGTTCACGTCTCATCCTAGGATTGACCTTGCTAAGACATCAGTAGCAATCCGGAACTTCTTAGCCCTGGAGCCAACAGCTTTAGCCTCTTTCCGTAAGTAATAGTTACCTAGATAACTGCTATAACTGAGGAGCGATTCTGTCATTTTGAATCAAGAAAAAGATTTTACAGAAGTTTTGTATTATTTCTTCATATAAACCATCAATGAAAAAAAAAATAAATTAAAAAAAAAACCCATCAATGAATTTGTAACTTAAAACATGGTAGGAGTGATTTTGATAGAGCTACATTTTTGTTTTTGTTTTGAGGCAGGATCTCTTACATAGCTCAGGCTGGCCTTGAACTTTCTGTGTGGTTGGGAATAGCCTTGAACTCCTCATCCTCTTTGCTCTCCCTTAAGAACTGGGATTTGCAAGGATGCATCGCCAGGCCTGATTTATAAGTGGTTCTCATTAGAGGATCATTTAAATGACTTTCGGAAGTTGAATTTCTATGTGAAGCCCTGGGTTTAATGACCTGCACCAAAAATAACAAGTAAAGTTGAATTTTTTGGCCTTTATTACTTATTTAGCTTTTGTGGCTTTCACTTGGCATTAGGCAGACATGGCTAATATACAGAAGTAATTCTGTATAATCATTCAGCAAGGTGTGCTTTATTTTGACCTGTAAGAGCCTGTCAGTTCAATATAAACAGGAGTTAAAATAATTAGTAATTTTACTTTTTTTCCCCTCAGTGTACTTTACTGCTCTAGTGCTATCTCTGAGTCAGCAAATGACAAGTGACAGAATCCACCTTTACACACCTTCCGTTAATGGGAGCCGCTGGTAAGAATTCATAGTAACATTAGCAGTTATGGTAACAGCAGCAGCGGGGGAGGGCTAATGATACCTTTCCACATTTTCATCCATAGATTAGAAGAGGCCACATTTCTGTTTATAATAAACCATGAGAAGAGAAGATCTTTTCTGTTGGCTAATGGAGAGTGACCTTCTTAGAGACTTCCTGTTGTTTTCCTGGTATGGGGGTTCAGGTAGCCCAAGCTCCTTATGTAGCTGAGGCTGGCTTTGAACTCCTGATCGTACTGTCTGTGCCTCCTCAGTGCTGTGATTATAAGCATGAGTCACCACACCTAGCTTATACCTGGGTTTTCATTTATTTATTTGCTTTTGAATGTTTTAATTACATTTTTATTTTTTATATTAATTACAGTGTATTCACTATACCTGGATTTTTAAATGGACTATTTTCTTTTCAAAAAAAGGTTTTTTTAACTCTTCAAGTCATTGTGTAATGGATTGGAGGTGTGCTCTATGTCTTTACCCCAGGCAGAGAGCCAAATACCACACTGTGGTAGAGAACAGAGCCTAAGAAAGGAGTTAGTAGTGCTGGGAAGAGAGTAAGGGAGAACCAGCATTTGCAGATGAGCTGCTGGGTTGACCAGATGGCTGAAAGTCCAGTTTAAGTGAATGACAGTTTCTTTTGAGAGGGAATAGAGGTAGGCTAAGAGAGAAGGATGATTATCAGTTGAAGAATATTACTGTGATGTTGTAAAAGAACTTGCTGGGACTCTTGAGGGGAACACCTGACTGTCATTACACTGGCGTAGAGAGGTCTCTTCAGAGTGCACACGGCTTCCAGCCCTGCAGGCACGTGTCGGGTTTCTTCTGTGCTGTTTGCTTGTTTTAGGAGGATCACACCTTATTTCCTACTTGGTATGAAATAGTGCTCTCCCTCTAGGAGAGGACTACTTTTGAAAAGTTTATAAAATAGTTACGTTTGGACATGGGAGCAAAAATGAAGGCCTTTCTAACGAGCGCTTCTCTGTCTAGGGCAGCAGAAATTGAGGAAGAGACTCTCATGCCGTGGATCATAGTGAACTTGGTGGTGGCCCTTCTGGTTGGATTATCCTGGCTTTTTCTGTCTTACAGGCCAGGCGTGGATCTCAGTGAAGGTATCAAGCTAAAAAACAATACAAGTATCCCGCAGTCTCTCTCATGATTAGTCTTCCAGTAATAGTTTCATAACAAACACATTTAAAATCAAATTATCAGAAGGACAGTGAGAATAACAATGTCTCAGAGTGTCAGAAGAAACAGGGGCCTGGACAGTTGAAGCCTGGCAACACTGAACGAGGGTCCTTATCCTTCCCGAAGCTGTGCCTTCTAGGGATGCTCAGGTTGCTAAGGCTCTGCTGTCATCGTGCTCAGTGGTCTTCACATGATGATGCCCTGCTCCATCAGCGTGGCCTGTCACACACGGGAGTCAGTGACTCTCATCTCGTTGGCACAGACCCTGTCTCCTTGCCTAACGGCGCTTTCTTGTTTCACCTTCAATGTGCCCCTCGAAGTCTCTAATCTCTGGACCCAAGGCTCTTTCCAGAACACCAAAAGAAGAAAACTCCCATTAGCACGCAGCTAGCTCATCAGCAAGTGCTCTAGGAATGCTTGGAATTTTAGCATAGACTGTCCTCCCTTGACAGGGCTCCCACATTTCCGTCCATTCACACATGAGCACTGTAGTTCTGTCAGCTTCACCGCTCTCTTCCCCTCTAACTCCTCTCAATTCCCTCCTTCCAAATTCGTGACCTTTCGTCTATAATTTTTTGTTACATTATAGATGTAAATATGCATATATGAGCTTGTACATAAATATACAGCCCGTTTGTCCCCGTTGTGTTTTCCGTATGCACGTTACTATATTATAGCAAACCAAAATGTAATTTCGTCATTTCACTCAGGAATTTTCACTCAGGAGTGAAATATTTCACTCAGGAATGTACCTTTGCGCATTGTGATTCTCATGTTGTTCCACTAAACATCCTGCCGCTCCCTCCAGTTTGCTGTATATTGGGCTTTGGGCCTGGGTAGCTGGTCAGTTGTCCACAGACTTGTTATGCAGACTCGAGGCTCTGCCTTTAGATCTCCAGTACCCGGGGAAAAGCCAGGCACAGGGCTGTGCACCTGTATTGCAGCACAGGGAGGCAGAGGCAGGTGGTCCCTCAGCTCATGGCAGCCGGCCAGCCGGACTGATGAGGTCCCGGCTCAGAGAGAGACTCCGGCTCAAAAACAACGTGGTGAAGGAGAGAGGGCAACAGCTGATGTCAGCCTCTGGCATGTGTACACGTGTGTGCACGCACTCATGGGTACATGTGCATACTACACACCTAGTCATACACAAACAGGTTGCCCTTTATGCACTTTGCTGGTTTTTTTTTTTTCATGAAGTACAGTTTTTGAACATTCAAAGAATTTTTTAATCTAATAACCAGAGGATTTTGTTTTCTGTATTTTCAAGATTTAATTTTTTGTATATTTCTTCACATTTTAATAATAAATTCTATTGCTGTGCAGAATAATAGTGTAGTGATTACAGTTCCTCCTGACGGCACTGTGTGTTGTTGCTGGGACTGACACTGTTTCCGGCTGCCTTGTGCAGGGTTCAGTCTCAGTGGCAGCGTGTATGGTGAATAGCAAGAATTCCAGAAACCTGCCGTCTCTTAAGGATGGTAATTTTAAAAGTGAAAACAAAATGAGGACAACACGTAGCGCGTTGGGTCTTTAGGGGATGAAGTAGGATAGGCTAGCAGAAGTGCTGTAAGGAGACACCTAGTGTCTGTTCTGAAACCCCCGCTTCTCTCCTTCACTGTAAATTACCTGATCCCTACAGAACTAAGCCTCTTAGCTCTTTATTGACCCTAAGTGACTTAATTTTCTTGGTAAGATGTGTTATGTTGTTTTTATTTTGTGTAGTTTATCTTAAGAGGTTTATAATAAATTTAAAACTTGACCTTTTAAAATTACAAAACATGCACACTCGCTGTTAGCTTCGCTTTTAGATTAAAAACTCCCTGAATAATTCATCCTTGTGCTTGAGTACTATACATAAATCAGGATTTCAGCAGACTCTGACTAAGCTGAAAAACTGTTCTGAGGAGCTGGAAAAGTGTTTTAAGCATGATATGTTCGTTTTGTTCTCCAGAGCTAATGTTCTTTTCTGATGTGGACGAATACTCTGAAAAGAGAATCCAAGCACCTTCATAGTGCCGACCCCTTCACCACAGTGAAGGCCTCCAAGACCCCAAGAGAGAGCCTCAGTAACCACCTGCATTTCCCTACTCTTGTTTTTAAGTGTATTTTTATAAGATATGTGTATGTGTATTTATAATTGAGCTTTTGTTATATAATACTGAAATGCTTCTGGAGATTATGAAAAATGTTTAAATTATATCTTTATACTTAACATTACTTTCCATATTACTATCCCTTTAGTGATACAGGAGATAATGGGCTAAAAAAAGGCAGGTGAATGTTTTTGTTTCCTGTTCTCACAGATTTGCTATATTCATGATCATTATCAAAAAAGTGCCAACGTAGAAAAGCCCTAACTTCAGCATCATAAAATAATATACATCACGTTTAAGTGTAAATTTAGAGACTAGGGTAGAAGGGAAAATGCCTTCATTTCATATTTTTGACATTTTACTGAGCACACTGCAGTATCTGATGTGTGTTTTCTGAATCTGCCCAGGGTTGTGCATCATGTAATAATTATGTTGTCATTTGAATTGAAAGATGCTTTACTTTGTGGATAATAAAACAAATGTATCTCTTTGAAAAGCTTTATAAACAGAAGATTTTTCCTTAAATATGTGCCCGTTGTTGTATCTGGTCGCACATCAGAATCATGTAGGGAGCTCTGGAAACCATCTGTGACAGCCAGGAGTGGTGCTGTGTGCCTAGAGCCAGCACTTGGGAGGTGGAGGCAGGAGAAGCAGTTCAGCGCCACCCAACCTCAGCTATTCAGCAAGCTCCGGTCCAGCCTGGGCTACATAAAAGCCCATTTCAGACACCAGAAGCAGCACCAACAAACTCAAACATAGCAAAAGAGACACTGGGCCATGAAGGCCAGCTCAGGCTTGTGGTTTGGGGCTAACCTCTGCAGGGTCTCTCGCCACCCTGCCTTTTTACAGGTGATGGATTTAAACCTAGGGTTTAAATAGGCCAGGGCCCTATCACTGAGCCACACCCTTAGTCTTTCTGTTCTGTTTGTTTGCTGAGAAAGGCCTTGCCTTGTATCCCTGACTGACCTCAAACTCCTGATCCTCCTTCGCCAGCCTCTTGAGTGGTGAGATTGCGGGGTCCTGGTTCTTCCTATGAGTCACAAGAAACATGAGTGGGGGTTCACCAGTCTCACTCCACTCTGTCAGACATCTTTAGGTGTCTGCGGAATCCCGCTCTTGGGGTGGGTTCTGCACAGAAAAAGGCTCTCTCCACACACTTCAAATGGTTCTTCAGCTGGTGTCTGTGAGCCCTGACAGCTTCAGTCAGTGAGAAGATCTGCTGGAAGAGAAAGTGACCCAGAGCTTGTTGGACACATTCCTGAAACTGCCGGGCCTCCCAGATTATCGGACAACTGAGGGATGCAGAGAAGACCATTGACAGTTTGATAACTGAGGTGGCTGTTTCTGGGGACTGGCCTATGCTTACACCAAACTAAAATATCTTTTAGTGCTGTAAGGCCCGAGTTGCTGAGCAGGCATTCACTTGGGTCATAGGATTATAACTACAGGCAATTCTGGCCATCCCATCAGTTCTAGTTTTCTCTGACTGGCAGTGATTCTCATGTTGGCGGCACCTGGGAGTGTAGGAGTTGACAGTCTGCTTTGTGGCAACTGCCAGGAAGTTGAGCTAAGGTCTATCACATCTTAATTGCATCATCAAGGAGAACTAGGGAAAGCTGCTCTCAGTGTGGGGTTGTGGTAGGCTGAGTAGTGGCCCCAAAGGACAGTCATTTTCTAATTCCTGAAGGCCATGAGTATTATACTACTTTGCATAGCAAAAGTGGTTGTGCCAGTGTGTTTAGGATAAGAATCTTGGAATGGGGAGAGCATCCTCCATAATGCAAATGGCTCAGTATAGCCCAGAGATGTAAAAGACTGAGCCCTTTTCTATCTCGTTAAAGAGCTGTTGATCAGTTGTGATACTTCATTTATAAAGGTGAGGAGCCTTCAGCGCCCCTGAAAGGCTGGGAACAGACTCTTACCTATCAGCCAGAGACAGCCATCCCAGCCCCATGAATTCTATCAAGAATGAATGATCAAGGAAGCCTCCAGAAAGCAGTTCAGTCCTATGGTACCTTGATTTGGACTCAAGTTATATCTGTACCAGACTTGGACTGCAGACATGTAAGACAACAGCTTTGTGTCAGCCAAGTGGCCAGGTTTGCTCCTACCAGCATAGAGAGTGCTGCCTTGCACTGCAAATGGAGAAAGCTGGGAACATGAATAATGTCCTAACTGACACTGGAAGCATGCTCTCTTAATAGGTCTGGGAATATGACTTGGATTTCAAATCTCCCGATGTACCCCACCAAGGACACAATCCCCAAGGAGTTGATGGAACCTACAAATCCTTCACCAGCAGCAATCCACAGCACACGTCAAAGACTCTTTTGACCATGATGATCAGAAAAGTCCATTGCAAGCTTATTGCAAATGTCTCGGTGATTAACTCAAGGCAAATTGCCGAGGCAATTTGAGAATGTCAGACCTGTCAAATCAGAATCTTTGAGGATGACGCTCAGGCTTATGGGAACGGGTGGTAGGGAGGATGAGTCATGGTAAACAGTGCCTTCCAGAGGCTCTTAGTCTACTTAGAGAGCCATCTGGGAATGGGAGGGTCTAGCGAAGGTTTGTAGGTGAAGTTGGACATGAGCAGGGGCTTTGTAAAATGGATGCAATTTCCTGGTAGAGAGGGGCACAAAAAAAAAGAGCAGAAAGGCGAGTGAGCTTAGAACTTTAAAACACTCTTTCATCATCATCACCATCATCATCGGGCTTCATGCCACAGAGTAAATGTGGAGGTCAAAGGACAACTCTGAGCAGTTGCTTCACTCTTCCTCTTTCACACAGGTTCTGGGCATCACCCTCAGGCCACCAGGCTTGTGCAAGGATCTCACCAGCTCAGCTCAGCCTTTAAAAAACAAGAAAGTTTTACCTTTTCTTTATATGAATGTGTGTCTAGGCCATAAGCATGTGGGTGCCCTGCAGGTTAGAAAAGGTGTCCGATTCCTTGGAACTGGAGCCATAAGCAGTTGTAAGCTGTCTAATGTTGGCACTGAGAACTGAACTCTGGTCCTCGAAAAGAGGAGCAGGTGCTCTCAGCCGCCGAGCCATCTCTACAGGCCTTCAGTGCTGCACACTTTGAGATTTAATTTTATTTGGTTTTGTTTTTAGAGACAGAGTCTTTCTGTGTAGCCCTGGCTAACCTGGACTTGCTTTGTAGACCAGGCTGGCTTCAAACTCACAGCAATCTGCCTGCCTCTGCCTCCCAGAGTGCTGGGATTACATAATGTTGCTGGGTGAGGTGGCGCAGGCCTATGATTCAGCACTGTGGCACAGCCAAGGCTACTAAGAAAATTCCTGTCTCAGAAAAACAAAACAAAACAATGTTGTGAGATACCAGCCTAGGTTTCATGTTAATTAATTAATTAATTAATTTTTTACCTCATTTGCTTTTTCTTTGTATGCCTCTTCTTTCAAAAAATTTTGAAGGGAAGTTTATTTAAACAATTAAGGACATTTGTCTATGAATGCACAGCGTCATTAAAGCAACCAGAAAACATAATTCCATAATATCTAATATCCAGTCCAATTTCAAATTTTCCTAGTTGTCTTTAAGATGAAATAATAGCATGGGAGCACAGTGGCCCTCTCCTAGAGGACTCTGCCCAAGGCACTGTTTAGGAAGCATAGACTAGATGTTCAGCAGACAGCAGCCCTCACGGCATTTGGATCTTAAATTCGGCAGCCTCCAGCACTGTCAGAAATACATTCTGTCCTCTTCAAATTGTGTAGCACTAATAGATTCAAATAACTAGAGATATGAATTTGTTCATGAGACTTCATTTCTGTCCCACCCAAAGACAATTGCTAGTTGCTTCCACCAATTAGGTTCAAATAAATTTGCAGACTTGGTAACAATTCAGAAGAACCAGGCTTTAGTGGACCCCGAAGTATGCCTTTCCTTTGTATTTCCTTTATTTCACTGTAAACTAGTAATGCTATTATTTTCTAGCAGATGTCTTTAGAAAGTAATGCACAGAATTTTTGTGGTTTCTGTTTGTTTCTTTTTCAAGACAAGGTTTCTCTGAGTAGCCTTGCCTTGCGCTGGACTCACTTTGTAGACTAGGCTGGCCTCCAACTCACAGCCATCGGCCTGCCGCTGCCTCTCTGAGTACTGGGATTGAAGGCTTGGCCAGAGCTTCTGTACTTAACCAGAGATTTCATATAGTGATAAACTTGTTGCTTACTACTCAGGCCTTGGCCAGAAAAACATTAGCATTTTGGAAACTGCACTGAGCTAATTTCTAAACTGTCCTGCAAAACAGGGCTCTCCCTAAGAAGCCAGTAAATGGAGCACAGGAATAGTTTTGTTTTGTTGGGGTATGATGTTTTGTTGGTTTTTTGAGACAGAATTTCTTTGTGTAGCCCTGGCTGTCCTAGGACTCACTCTGTGGACCAGGCTGAGATCCACCTGCCTCTGCTTCCCAAGTGCTGGGATTAAAGTTGTGCGCCACCACTGCCCAGTGGGAATAGTTTTATAATACAAATAAAATCTTCTCTCATTGTGTAAAAAAACAAACAAAAACCAAGATTACTTCATCTAGGGTGTACTTTATGCTGCATTAATGAACCCTTGGGAAGTCAGAACGACCTGGTAAGACAACCCTCATTGGGGTGCTGACTGACCACACGTAGGAATGAAGGATCTTGGGATTCTGTACCATGTAGTAAGAAAGGGAAGGGACCGAGCTCTTACCCCTGAAGAATTCTGTCAAGAGCAGCTACTACTGTGAGCCCAGTCTAAGCAGTGTGGCGAACAGTAGGTTGGAGACAGCAGTTAGCTGTGTCTTAGAGGCATATGTGAACGTACAAATAAGCACAATGTCTGACGTGTGGAGGCTCTCAGTCTACTTAGAGAGAGGTGGGAGTGGAGAACCTTGGAAAGGTGTGTGGGTGGGGTTGGGTGTGAGCAGGTGCTGTGTACAATAGACTTTCTAGCGGTAGAGATTAACAGAAGACAAAATTGAGTTTTGAGCTTACTCTTGCCCAAAAGAAGACTACATTTCAAAGACTATAGCAGTAAATAATGGCTCTGAGGTAGGAAAACATATTTAAAATGTTATATATTTTTAAAAGTCCAATGTGCTATCTCCATATTGCCTTGGGGCCACCTTTTAAAATATTAAATGGCCAATAAAGTTGTGGATTTGCTTTGTGTATAACGGTAATTTTTTTCTAATACTGAGACAGCAGACGGAGTTAATGAGGCAGGCTGGAAAGCCATGGAGTAAATCATCCTTTTCTGAACGAGAGATGTACTAGAATAAAGAGAAGTAGGGTTCTTGTATCAATAATGCAATTTTTTAAAGGGTCAGAATTTTGTGAATGTGGCATTACTGCATCAAGTGGATTTGGAACATACAGGACATAAGATAAATATATGAATGTGTCTTGTGTCTGTGGAACAGTCAAATAGGTGTCGTGTCTGAGGATGTAAATCTAGAAAGACGGTGTGCAGAGAAGCAGGCTCCTGAGAGTGAAGTAGGAGTTCGTATCCCGTGGAGGCGGGTGCCCACCCGTGAGCTCCGACCGCGGGGGCACACCGAAACTGCCTGAGGTGACAGAAAGGCAGCCCAGGCCTTCTGCACGTGGTCCGGGAAAGCGCAGGAAAGGCGGCGGGGGCGCGTGCGCAGCAAACAGCGGTTAGGTTGGTGGCAGACCGGGTTCTGAGGAGAATGCGGCAATGGAGTTGCCTCCTTCCGGGACCCGGAAGGTTTCCATCAGTAACCCTCAAGAGACATCTGGCAAGGTTTCCAACACCCCGGCCTTGTTTCCCACCCACTCAACTAAGCTCTCTACCGGCCACTCTCTGTTGTCCTCCTTGTCTGATCGAAGGCCGTCCCTGGTGAGCAGCAATCGCGGCCCCCGGATGGTCTCAACCCTGCTGCCCAACTCCATTCTCCAGAAGGGCTCCCTCGTCCCCACAGAGGCCCTGCAGGAAAAAGGATCCACCGTCTCTGCAGTCCATTATGCCGATGAAAAAGGCAAGGCACTCTCGGAAAAGGAAAAGGAAAAGGAAAAGGAAAAGGACAAGGACAAGGACAAGGACAAGGACAAGGACAAGGACAGAATCAAGAGCAAGGGCACAGGCAATCACCTGCTGAACGTGAGTGGTCCTTGGGGAGGGCGGGCCGAGGCTGGAAGTTGGGGGTGCCTCAGGGACTAGAGAAATCAGTGTGAGTCTAGAGGCCTGAGGCAATTGGTTTCATTCCCTGAAGCCTCATTTTATTGACTAGTAAACGAAAGGCCGATTAAGAAGGAGATGAAAATGTCAACTGCTTGGCAGAACAAAGGAAGGCCCCTCCCTGCCCACTGCAGTCAATACCATCCCTGAGATGTCATTCATCTGGATATGTGCTAAACCCCAGCAACTTTATTTGTATGATTTCTTTCTTTTGTTATGAGGGATCCTTACTTTGTTTTGTTTTCTTCTGCCTTACTACATGACCCCCGGCTGACCTGGTACTTGCTACCATGGCCCAGATTGGTTTCCACACTTGGCAATTCTCCTGCTTTATATGCTTAAGTGTTGGATGATGGTCTGGTGTGTGCCACTCTACCTGGATATTACCAAGGCCCTTAAATTATGACCCTGGAGAATGAATTCCTCATCAGGTCTCCAGTGTTTAGTGGTACCGAGGGGATGGAGCGGCAGGTAGCAAGGGAGAAGCAAGTTGTAATTCCTTTTTATAGAAAGGTTGTTAGAGGATTACTAGGAAATTTTACATCCTCTGTTGGCTTGACTTTATTAAAAAGTAGTGCAATTAAATTATCCAGAAACATGGGCATGGTGGCACGTGCCTTTAATCCCAGAACTTGGGAGGCAGAGGCAGGTGAATCTCTGAGTTCGAGGCCAGCCTGGTCTACAGAGCGAGTTCCGGGATGGTCAAGGCTACATTGAGAAACTTACTTACAAACAAACAAGAACAAAATTAATTATTAATTAAAAAAATAAGAAACAAATGGCACATACAAAAAGCTGAGCTCCATCTCTGTAAAATTAATGTGATCTCTAAAAGCCCCCTAATTCAAAAACTTTAGCATGCTTTTAGAGCATTGTTGCGACAAATTGAGAGCATATTAAAGGCTAACTAAAGGATAAGCTTTTCATGTATACTAAGTTAAAATCACAAAGATTTGTAAGAAAGACATGCTTTGAAAGCCAGACCATGGGCTAAGTTTATTGTGTTTGATCTTAAGGAATTTAGGCTTTATGTCTCAGAATAGTGATTTTGTTTGTTTTTTTAGATTTTTGAGACAGGGCTTCTCTGTGTAGCCTTGGCTGTCCTGGACTTGCTTTCTAGACCAGGCTGACCTTGAACTCACATCAGTTCACCTACCTCTGCTTCCCTGAGTGCTGGGATTAAAGTAGTACACCACCACACTGGGCTGTGATTTCTATTGTTTTGAACACGGTGATTCCTTTTCAATGTAACATCTTCTTTGTATAAAGATAACTGGTCTTTATTATTCACTGATTTGGTGATTATTAATCACCAAAATGAACAAACAGGCCTGCTGTTATTAATAGAGTTCTCTCTAGGTTTTTTGTTTGTCTGTTTTTTAGGCTTTTTTGTTTGTTTGCTTGCTTCTCTGTATCCGAGTCTTCTGAGGTGTTCCTTAAAATATTGACACCTGTAATTGCTGTGAGTTTGAGGCCAGCCTGTTCTACAAAGCAAGTCCAGGACAGCCAAGGCTACACAGAGAAACCCTGTCTTGAAAAAGCCAAAAGGAGAGAGAGAGAGAGAGAGAGAGAGAGAGAGAGAAGAGAGAGGAGAGAAAGGTGTAGATTTGAGGATGTTGGAGCTATTCGTGAGTCAGGAACATGTGCTGCTCTTTTGCAGAGGATCCGAGCTCAGTTCTGCACCCACATCAGGCAGCTCACAACCACCAGTAACCCCAGCTCCAGGAGATCTGGCCTCTGGGGTCATCGACGCTCATATTCACACATACACGTACAGACATACACGCATCCACGTATATAAAAATAAATCTCTAAAATGCAGGATTTTGAGCCTCCACCGTCGTCCCCCTGAGTGAGAAGGGTCAATGCAGGAATGTGCTCAAACTGAAAACTCTGTGAGCTGATTCCTAGCTGTGAGCTTGGGAATCACTGCAGAGGAAAAGGAGAAGCATTGATGTCAATTGCATGTGCGGCCCGGGGAAGTGGGTAAACGGTAGAGTGTCTAGGACGCACAGTCCTGAGTTCACTCCCCAGCACTTCAGAAATAGCTGTGCATGCCTGTAATCTTAGCATCAGGAGCTGGAGGCAGAAATTTAAGGTCATCTTTGCCTACGTAGTAAGTTAAAAAAAAAAAAATGGATGAGCTGAGTAAAAGCAGATGGAAGGATAAGTGATTGGAAGACTCGATTTTTTTTTTTAACTTTAAAATTATCATAGTGGTTATTCTTTTTATCTTTGCCAACTTGACACAAACTAGCGTCACTAGGAAGGAAAGAACCCCCAGAAAGGCCGGTTTAGGAAAGCAAAATAATAATGGTAGTAACTACAAGTATCTAATTGTGACACAACAGTGTGTGGGGGTGATTCTAAATTTCTGTGATTGCGGAAGATACATGAGCACCTACAACCAACCTTTGTTATTTATGCTTCGTGCATGTGACAATTTGTTTCTAAATTTTAAAATCCCCAATTTTAAAAATGATGATAGACTTGGTGTCATAGACCTGAGCCCTACAATCCCCGCTACTCTGAAGAGGTAGGAAGTTCACATAGTCAAGGCATGTTTGGTTACAGAGTAAATTCAAGGCCACGCTAGGCAAGCTGGGGAACACGGCCTCAAAATAAAAAGCAAAAATATGGCAGGGGCTCAGTGACAGAGTACTCTTCTAGCAGTTACTAGGCTGTAGTTGAAGAAAGAAAGGAGCAAATGAACAAACAAAAGAACCAAGGAAGAAAGGACGATTTCTAATAGATTTAACTGTATTTTATTTGTTAATACAAAACCAAACCATTCCCATATTTAAAAAGCGTGTTTTGGAAGTCTAGTTCTAATGTCAGGTTGTTTTCATTTAATCTTTGTGTACTTTTATGTGTGTATGACGTGTACACACATATCTGTGTGTGGACACGCAGAGGTCGGAGGAGGACAGTGAGCACAGTGTGTTATCTGCTCTACCTCTCCTGGTAAGAGTGAGCCTCTCATTGAACTTGGAGCTAGGCTGACAGCCAGCAAGGACAAGGGATCTTCCTGTCTCTCCACCCTTCCATTGGCATTTTTTTTTAACTCAAAATTTATTTCTCCACATGTGCCACCTTAAATTTTTTTTTCCCCATGGATTTTTTTGATCATTCCTTCTCTAGCTGTGAATTCAGACTAGATACTCTACTAGTTAAGGTTAGACAATTGACTGGCCCACTTGAGCTGTACTCTGGACTCAAAAGCAAGCATGAAGCCTGCTGTGACCGCTGATCGCTTAGTGTGCCCTAGAGGCCATCTGCTCCCCAGAGTCGGTCATTTATGCTCACTTTCTTGCTAACAAGAAATGGCAAGTCATAATATTTTCTTCTGCAGCTCTAGGGATAATGCCTGGGTGGTTTGTTTGTTTGTTTGTTTGTTTGTTTTAATGGTGGTCATTGTTTCATGGGGACCAAGAACTCCAGAAGGCAAAGGGAAGTCATTTCTTTTAAATGTGGCCAGGAAAAACAATGTTTAAAAAAGAAAAAAAAAAAGACCCTTTGAGTTAACCCATTCCTTGTATAATGAAGACTTGGCTGATGACATTGGTTGAGTGTTCCTCTAATGGGCTGTAAGGAGCACGGAGATGAAGGCTTCCCTTCTTGGGAACGGCTTTGTATAATGATGAAGCTGTAGTTATTATTTTTTTTCCCACCTATCTGTTTTCAACCCCAGCATTTACCACTTGAGGACAAGAAAGCTTGAAACTGGAATCAGGCTGCTGCCACAGTGTGTAAATTGTGTCACTGTACGGGGAATGATTAAATAATTAACTTAACGAAAACGGGGGTTCAGTGAAGACTAAAAACTAAAGGCATTCTGGGAAAAGGTAACTGTGTGGGTTAATGGGATTTCAAGGAGATCCGTGGACTGGAAGAGAGTGGGTAAGAAAGTCTCAGACCGGAGGATGGAGTGTCAACGGGGGAAGACTTCCAAAACTTTCCGGTAGCGGTGTCACAGGGTGTTTCTCAACTTGGAACTGAATTCAGGAGATGGGCAGCTAGTAGAATCGTTGGAAATCAGGCTCAGCAGAAATTCTAGGTCATATCAGAATGTCTATGTGATGCAGTTAGAACCTTTGCTACGATTCCGGTAGGAATTTGGCAGATACTTTGCTGCTCCTGCTGCTGCTCAGCAGAGCTGAGGAAGGAAAAACACAATGGTAAGAAAGCGAGGAGGGAGGCAGGAGCACTGTCAGGTCTTAAAGCGGTCAAACACAAGCAATCTGTAAGGAAGGCTTCTTAAAGGGTCTAAACAATCTTTTATCTGTAGAGCGCACTTTCAAATTTGGCTTCCCAGCTGGGCAAAAAGCTCCCGCCTGCCCTGCACCGCAGCCCTTGAAAGGCTGGGGTGGGAACATTGCTGTGGTTTTGACAGCTGCTCAGGCCACATAGTGAGCTCCGCATTAGCCTGGCTACAGAGTGAGACCTTAACAAAACAAACTTCCAAAATGATGAGTAGACACATTACAATAAACCCGCGGCTTCGCTGAAATGCCTGCAGGATGTATCGCAGTTACCTGTTTTATGATACGGTAATTTTAGTGACCTTAAGCTACAGCTAAGCCACAGAAGTGCGGTGTGGGGCAGCTGGGGCAAAATGATTGCAGACATATTAATTTTTCTCCGTCGTTTGTTATACCTATTATTAATTTTTTTCATGGAAAACTTGGCAGTAATGGATTCCTGGGTCTCATGAATACCAGGCACTTTTGAAACATGCAATGTGTTGTTATTAGGTACATTTCCATGCCATTCAACAGGTGAATAAAACTTACTCAGCTTACCTAACTATGTAGACTTCAGTCACTATCTCTCCACCTGTCTGGCCCCTCCGCCCCTCTCTCTATGTTTGAGTATTTTTCTCATTTTTTTGTAGGTCTCTCTAATTTTTCTTCTACGACTTGTATCTTATCAATCTACTTTTCATATTTTTCTTTTTTCCTGTATCTCTAAAGCTTATTTCTTTGAGAGGGCACAGAAAACCACTATGACTATTAATATTAAGGATAAAATATGAAATACCAAAATGGTAATAATCATAATTAGACTGAGCCAATTTCAGTGAAGTCGTTTAACTTTTCATTTTCTGCTTCTATTTTCAAACCATCTAAAGTAGTGCTATCCAGGGTCCTAATGCCTTGTATTATGTTATTTCCCACCCTTAACTCTCTCCTTGAGGACTTCCCAGGTGACTTATCAAATGTGATGACCTCTCAGTTTGTCCACAGCTGGCATGATTTCTCTGTCCATGCAGTCATGCCTCGCGTTGGAGCAGCAAATGTTGTTTTCAACAAAATCCCAATGTTCAATTTTGCCAAAGACTCAGGAGCCAGTTGTTGGGGGTGAAAGCCTGCTAGCTCTGAGAGGCAGAGAAAGCATGCAACTGTCCTTCCCCAGCCAATATCCCAAAACAACAACAACAAAATCCTCAACCCCCCACAACCTCAACGTCCCTCCTCTCTACTTCTGGTGGCTCTTTCTATCCATCCTCCCGACTTCCTATCACTCTCTATGGCTTTTTTCTATGTTCACCTCCTGTCAACTGATTGCTTGCTCCACTTCTTGACCTGGGGTTAACTTTATTTAATCCTGTCCACAATGCCAAGCAGAAAGCTCTTAGATTAAAGGTGTGTGCTCGGGCTGAGCCATGCCACAATTAGAAACGGGCTTTTCCAATGAACAACACAATCTCAGGGTTTACAGTGTAATCGGATGTCCTGCGACAGCAGTACTGCCTTGTCACGCCAGCGCTCTGCTTCTCATATGGCTCTTTAACTACCTCATCAGAAAGGGTACAGGAGCGTCTTGAGATCTAATACACACATAAAGACCACACACACACACACACTATATAAATAATATATAATATATACATACATATATAATTTATACTTCCTACTTAGAATTTACCATCCATCCATAATGCATACATACACATAAACATTACTCCCTACTTTGAGTTCACTATTCATCCATGATGAAAAATCTCTCAAGAAACCCAACACACAAGGAACATGTGAACACGATGTTCACAGGACAAACCCACAGCAAAAGTACTGAATGGGGGAAAAAGTTGAGACCTTTTTTCTTAGCTCTGGAATGAGGTAAAGATGCCCTTCTGTTCAACACAGTACTGGAAATCATAGCCTAAACCGATAATGTAAGAAAAAAAAAGCATCCAGGTTGGAAAAGGAGACATCAAACTGTCACTGTTTGCAGATGACGTGACCCTGCAGATAGAGAACTTTACCACAAAACCGCCAGAACTAACTGAAAAAAATTCTATAAATTTGGTGATTACAAAAGGAACTTGCAAAAATCATTAGTATTTCTGTATACTTATAGAAAATGACTTGAAACAAAAATCAAGAAAACATTTTTTGTTTGTAATAGCTATAAAAGTAAAGCACTTAGGAATAAATTTAACCAAAGAGGCAAAATGTCTCTGCACTGAAAACTATGAAATATTGATGAGAGAATGGAAGAGACTACAAATAAATGTAAAGAATTAATATTGTTAAAATGCCCATATTTATGAAAGTGATCTCTAGATTTTCTATTTTTCAGACAGAACATTGACATACTTTCAAAATTAAATTTCTAAGGTGAACTCTGGGATAATCATCTCCTCCTTCGCACTGTTCTCTTAGCCCATCATTCCCCACTAGGTAACCACTTTCTTGTTTATTATTCCTGCATTACTGGTGTTCTATCATTGCCTTTATGTTACTCTTTAATAATAAAATTGTAAAATTAAGCTAGTCTTATAACCAACTTAGTGTCTTTAACCAGCACAAAGTGTCTTTCTAGAGTCTGAGTATATCGCGGGAATAGATCATTGAGTCAACTTTTCCAGATACACAGTGTGGGTCCTAGAATTACGTGGATTTCCTCTTATTGCCTAAAAAAATTGGCAATTGTAATTTTAATATTGGTTCTTTTCCCAGTGTTTTATTTTGTTTTTTCTTCTTCAATGATTATTTTACTTCTCTTCCAGTTCAACAATATTGCTCTAACTTCCTGTACTTATTTTTCTGTCTCATTTTCATTCTCCAAGTATGATTCTTGTCTCTTTCATTGCCTTTATTAAATTTCATTTGAATTTAGGCTATGTTGGGCACTTTGAAATTCTATTCATTTCTGAGATGGGTTTATTCTTTTAAAAAAATTAACATTCACTTAATTTTTTTGAACCATTATAAATTTACTATTGTAAATCCACCATATTGAGTCCATTTAGTGTTGCTCATTTGCACACATTCAGGCCTGATCATTTGGAACTGGACAGTCTGCTGATCATCCCTGGGGAAAATGGACGCTCTCTCAATATCCATTGCCTGGAGCTCTTCATCTAGAGGAGAACCTTGCAACTTTCCCCGTACACAGTGGTGTGTCAGCTGCTCTCATCTTTATACAGGTCTTGTTCAGGCAATCACATTGTTGAGATTTCATGGGTGCAATTTCCCTGTCATGTCTATAGAACAGCGTTTGGTGGAAGGTGTTGCCACAACCTGTGTGGCTTGGGTCCTGGAACCCTGAAAATCTAAGTAGGGTCAGTGAAGAAATGAACTGACAGACACACAGTCGGGAAAGCTGGGGTCAGGTGGGCTGTTTGTGTTCTGGTGAAGCTGAAACCACAGCACCACAAGCCAGAATCTCAGTGTGTCCGTCACAGACAGCATGGGGGACAGGAGTTAGTTGGGCTTGGTGTGGGGTCTCTGAGGGTGAACAGTCTCAGGCTGTAAACACTGAGGAGGAAGCTACAGTTGCTAGTTTTTACAAACACTGCGACACCCACACCCAGACTAAAGGAAGGCTTTGCCGTCCCTCTCAGCCTGATCCAGGATAAGGCTTTGCTGAATTCCGTGGGTCTGAGGCATTCATTGGTCCTTGACATAGCCGTGACTACTCCAGCAATACAGATTCGCTCAGGCCTTCATCTGTTTTTTCCTGATTCACTCAAGGCTTCCTCAGCTCCTCAAAAGGTGTTCTGGTCTTCTGGCTTGTACCAATTTTCTTCTCCTTCCATGATTTTCCCTTGGGTATATGGACATACAGATGTGTCAGCTGGGTTTGCGTACCCTAATTCAACCAGCTGCGAATCTCTCTAATAGTCTCAGTCTATTGCAAAGAGAAACTTCGTTGATGGGATAAGAGGTACATGCATCTTGGGTATAAGGATGAGTATTTGGAATATAGTTAGAAATCACGTTGGTGGAGGGAAATGGTAGTTACAGGTTCTCCTTCAGTGTCTGTGGTGTCTGTAGCCACAGGTGGGTGCTTGGGTTTAAGGTGCTGGGCAGGAATTCCCTCCCATCAAGCCAGCCTTAGGTTCAATTTGACAGCTATTGGCTACCTGCAAGATGAAGGTGGCACTGTTGTTGCAGTGGGGCTGTCCTGATGGGCTAGTGGTCATTGTGGTTCATGGGCTTTGCAGTGAGGGAGGAGCTCTTCTCCCTTGGCAGCTTGCACAACAACTCCGTATACTGTGAGAGCCAGACCTCAAGGAAGAGGCTTCCAAAGGAAGAACAGTGACCATCCACAATAATCTCTCCCAGGTTTCTTCCCTTCACACACGATTCAGGTGTGATATGCTTTTAAGAAGCGTATTGAAATGTGTATTGAAATGCAGTTTGTGTGAATGAACGTCTAAGTGATGGGGGGCCAAAGCACAATGCTAATATGATCGATGATTCTAATTTGTGGGTCTGGTATCCTGAACTCCTCCCCACCCCATAACACCTTTCTTTCTCCTCACTGTCACACATTCAGGGAAACCCACATCTCTTCTTCCAGGAGAAGTAGTGCTCTTCCCGGGAGGCCAGGCCTGGACCTGGTCCTTCACTTTCAGGGCTCTTCCCTCTGCCCGCGCTACCACCTGCGGTCAGAGTTTTTGCCTTGCTGGACTTTCTCCTTCACTTTTGTCTCTCTTGTTGTCTCTCCTCCTCTCTACTATTTTCCACGTTGCTGATGGATTTTCTTGTCTTGACCTCTGTCCCTGTAGGCATGTGCTGGAATTGTTTAATTCGCTCCTTATAGGAAATCTGGAAGATGGGATTCCCTTCTCTACTGTGTCTTGTACTTCACCTGTGTTTCTGATGTTGATAGTCATACATTTGGATAGAAGTTCTGGCTCAGGGGCTTACCATACCAGTGGCAACTGGATGGAGTGATTTTAGAAATCTTTCAGGGTACCCTGCTCTGTGTTCAGCCCAGCAACAAGCTGAATGCCCTTTGTTCATACACATATGTTTTTGTTTTCTGATTTCCTTGATAATTCCATATTTAATTATGTATATTTTTATCCTTTTGCTTACGTATTGATAAACTTATTGAAAATAGAAATGAGTCTCTTATTCATAGTAATATCCATGGCCTAGAGCACCAGATACCTAATAGGCACGCAGGAAATATTAAATTGGAGTGAAATTTTATCCAGGTATGTTCTAATTTTTCTTCTAAAGTGTTAAATTTGTTTATTTTCATTATAGATACTTAAAAAAACTCTTCAAGGGTCTCAGAGTGACGAAATGGTAGTATCACAGCAAACACCAAATTTGATACCATTTGGCGATGTGGTATGTATGAGTTGGCATTCAGCAAGCCTGTATAAATTATTTCTAATTTGATATGAAACACAGTTGATATTTATTATCTGGTAATTAAAAAGTATATGAAGAAAAGAGTCCTCTATGAGAAACAGGATCATGAATTTTTTTTTATTTATATGAGCCATAAAATCATTAAATATTCACCCAAATTCTGGAAAACATTCTAGTTCACAGAAATAATGCTTTTATAGTACAGATTCCCAGTCACCCACCATAACTGTAAGACGCTGACCCCGGGGCCTCACCTAAGGCCTGCTAATGTCGGGGGAGCCAGCATTTTTGTTGAGCTGGTCGAGTGATGATACGTATTTGAAGACAGACCCATGGTTTGAAAGCTGACCCTTCAGTGCTCCCTTATGACCCCACCAGACCTCAGAAGTAGTGGATTTCCACACTGCTTATTGTGCATTTGGAGAAGAAACATTGTCTGGGCTAGTGAGATGGCTCTGGTCCCGTAAAGATGTTTGTCACTGCTAAGCCTGAAGACCTGTGTTTCAATCCAAGACCCAAGTGGTGGAAGGAGGGAACCACTTCCTGAAAGTCGTCCTGTGCCCACAAACCACACACATCCACATGTCACACACACACACACACACACACTTTTTTAAACAGCATTTTTAAAAGCCTTTTTTATTTTATGTGTGTGTTTCAGTACTTACTTGTATGTCTGTGCACCATGTGCGCCTGGTACCTTCAGAGGCCCAAAGAGGCCATCAGATCCCTTGGAACCGGCCACCCCGTGTGGGTGCTCGGAACTGAACTTGAGTTCTCGGCAGAGTAGGACGCTTTCTTAATCACTGAGCCGTTGGAGTATGAACAAGCAACAAAGTATTTCTGATGGGAAAAACCCTACACAACTGTGTTTTGCCAGTTTAAATACAGTTCATGTAAAGTGTAAGAAAGTTAACTTAAAAAAAAAAAAAAAAAACAGAACAAAGTGTCTGCCTTTCATGTTTTTGTAGGTTGGCTGCCTGGCTGTTCACGTAAAGAGTTGCAGACAGTTTTCTCACAGGTGTATCCTTTGGGTTTGTAGCTCACACCATCGCCATTTCTTGCTGTTTTGGTTAGCTGTGGCTGAGTTACTAACTGCTGGAAGGCACAGCAGCTTGAAATACTAGCTGTTTCATCCCCCCAACCCTCTCTTCACCCACTAGGGGGACCTTCTGCTTCCCAGCGCCTTAGCTGTGGCTGTGGTTTGCCTGGTGCTTCAGGGTGGACACCAGCACGGACTGGCGAGGCCGGTGTGCTCCCCAGGAGCCACTCATATCCCCCTGGCACTCAGTTTAACACACATTACACACATTTAAAAGAATCTTCCTGTTCCCTTCAATTATACACTTCGATTCATCCTAATGCCATTTTTTAGTTAGATTCATTGAATTTATGTTAGAATGATCATAAATGTCTGCTCAGATTCAAGGACAGCAAAAATAAATCCCACTTTTTGGTATAGAAGTTAAAAAAAAAAGATTTTAGCAATCTGTGATTTACCTTCATCTTCACGTAAGTGAAAGGGAAATTGTTATGTCCTTAGACATATTTACTTTAAACTGGTGCCTTGTTTTGGCTCTCTGAGATTGTTCTCCTATGTAACCCAAACTGGCCTTGAACTCTCAATCCTCTTGTTCCAACTTTTCAAGTGTTAGGATTAGAGGTTTGAACTACCATACTCCTCTAGTTTTATTTTTAAATCATTCTTGTTATGGTCTCTCTCTCTCTCTCTTTTCTTTATTTTTTTATATAGGGAGTTTTCAAAAAAAAATTCTATAGAGACATTTTAAGACACTTAAATCTTGAAAACAATATTTTTAATTCATGAAGTACTATACAAGCAATACAGTAGAGTGAAAACGAAGACTAGAGAAGTGAATTAGAGTAGAACACTTTCCTGTAAATTCTATCTTGATATTAAATTATTCTCAATTTATATGCTTACTTAAAACTTTTGTACATAATATCATCCAGGAAATTATGTCAATTATACATTAGATATGCTTAGTCATTTTCAAATTAATATATAGAAAATTTGCAAAGGAATTATGGTGAAAACAAGAGAACAAAGATGTGGTAGGTATATAGACACTGTGCCTAGCAAGGAGAGGCACAGATATTATTTTGAAAGTTTTTTCTGTTGTTTACTATACTTGATTGATTTTTATATTTCGGCCTGGATTGCTCAACAGATTTTGCAATGTGTTCTCTGGTCAATTACAAGACAACTTGTTTCCTGAATATTTTATTTTCAGTCATTGTACAGCAGCATGTGAAGTTGTTTATCTGTATCTCTGTAAACCACATTGTCAAGTACACGAAACTTCGTAACTTGAAAGCCGATAATAGTGAGAAGAACTATGTGCTCAGGTTTGATGAAGTGAAGTATTTTTCTGTACAGGTAATGTTAAAACTGTCTCCTCAATATAATGATGTATCTTTACAGTTTCAAATATTCTAACAACTCATACCTTTTGGGGAAAACAAGATAGACAAGAACCAGAAGCCGCGTCTTTTCATTTGGGCTTACTCCTCTGCCGTGGCCTGTGGTGCGTGCTGAAGCGCTTGTGACATGCCTGGCCCAGCGTTCTCTTCCCTGACGTGTTGCGTGTGAGGTTCTGAGCGTTTATCATAAATAAGGTTTCCTCTCCCTGCTCTTGCTTTTTCATGTCTTCTTCCACCCTTTCTTTTTTCACTCTCCGGTTCTTTCTTTCCTTTTATGTAGTCCCTTAATATAGTCTCCTCTAAATGTTTGCACATAGATTTCACAGTTTTTGTAACAACCCCAAATATCTCCTCATTTCCCCTCACAAACAGACAGACAAGCGTACACACACATAAACACACTCATTTTCTGCTGCTTTTTCTCTTCCTCCTCTTCCTCTTCCTCCTTTTTCCTCTCTTGGTTTTTTGAGACAGGGATTCTCTGTGTAGCCCTGGCTGTCTTGGACTCACTTTGTAGACCAGGCTGGCCTCGAACTCACAGATCTGCCTGTCTCTGCCTCCTCTAATGCTGGGATTACAGGTGTGCACCACCACACTTGGCCACACACATTTTCTTGTCTTTTTGGATGAAAAAACTGAGGTACTATGGGTGAAAGGATTTCACTGGGGTCATAGAGCTGGGATATGGAGGGGCCGGGCTGCATACACTCTGGCTTGAAATCATGTTCCATTAAATTGCCACTCAACTGGAACTTGCTATGTTTCTGTTTACAGTTCAGCTTCTTAAAAGCTGAAATAAATCTCAGAGCTGTTCAGCCATGCAGGGATGGCAAAAGCCTTTAATCCCAGCACTTGGGAGACAGAGGCAGAGGCAAGCGGATCTCTGTGAGTTCAAGACCAGCCTGGTCTACAGAGTGAGACTATCCTCATCTGTTTCAGATGGCTATTTTATTTCCTCCTCTGTGTGAGAGTCAAGCATCCTTCTTTGTGCCCTCCTTGGCTTCTTTGGGTCTGTGCGTTGTAGCATGGCTAACCTGTACATTATGGCTTGTATGCATACCATGTGTGTCTTTCTGGGTCTGGGTTACCTCATGCCTGCAAATTGTATGATGTCCTTGTTATTCCCTCTTCATTTGTCAGAATGGCTAAGATAAAAAACAGGAGTAACAGCATGTGCTGGAGAGGATTTGGAGCACGGGAACACTCTTTCATGTAAACTAGTACAACCACTTTGGAACCATTTTTTTCTTCATGTGCTTACTGGATATTTGTCCTTAGTCATTTGAAGCGCATCTGTTCAGCTCATCTGCCCATGTATTGACTGGGTTATTTAGATTTTCAGTTAGTCTTCTGAGGCCCTTACATATTCTGGATATTAATGTCCTGTCATCGAACATCTGGCAAAGAGGTTTTGTTTCTGCAGTTCAGCCTTTCGGCGGATCGCCCCTGCTTGCCCATTCCCGAGATTGTTCTCTGAGCTGCTCGAGCGCCTTTCGGAAAGGCGTTGCCCAGCATTGGGTCTTGAAGTGTTTTTCTCTAGGCTTTTTAAAGTTCCTCTCCTACCCTGACCCTTCCATCCAATCTTGATTTGTTTTTGTACAAGGTGGAGATCGGGACCTTGATTGTTTTTCTACATACGGGGATTTGGTTTTTTTTCTAGCACTGTTTGCTGAACTGTCTTTTCCCCAATGTATATTTTTTGTGCCTGGGGAAAGCCAAGCTGTGTGTTCTGTGGGCTTTTGTCTGGTCTTATATTTGACTCCAATGGTCTGTGCCTGTTTTGTTCCAGTGCCATGCTGGTTCTGTTACTATGGCTCTGTTAGGAAAATTTGAAATCTAGTATTATGATACCCCCAGCATTGTTCTTTCTGTTTAAGATTTCTGAATCACTTCATCTTGATATGTAATTTCAGCAGGGTGTTGAGGGAAACTCTTTACGTATAATAAAAAGACACTGTAGGCAGTAGATGATTTAAAAGATTATAATTAATGTTAGACACAAACAGGTCCTGATTTTGCTTATGTTAGAATATGTGGAATGATGAACTTGAAAAGTCACAAAGCTAGCATATAAAAACTAATAATTAGCAATACCCATGAGATAGTATAACTTATGGATCAGTTTATTTGGAAATCATGTCTGACATTCAGACTTAAAATTTAATACTTCTTTTCATGTCTTTTGATATCGAGGTTCCCAGACGCCAAGATGATGAGCGGAATAATATTTTATTAGAACTAATGCAAGACGGAGGGGATTCAGAAAAGCTTGCTCTTTCTTTAGCCAGTACTGAGTCACATCTTTATGAAGTAATACAGGTTTGTACAAACATATCAGTCTCTTTTTTTTTTTTTCAGCTAGATGGGGACACATACCTGTAATCCAAGCGCTTGGAGGGTACAGACAAGATAGGAGTTCAAGCTTATCCTTGACCACATAGTGACTGAAAGTCCAACATAGTCTCAAAAAGACAGAAAGTAAAACAGAAACCAGTGTGTGTTTTTTAAGTCTCGGTACCATACTGTCTAGTTGGTTTTGTCCTTGTGGCTCCTGATATCTAATGGACTCCTTTTGTTTATTCTAAACATATGAAAAATATTAGAATTGTCAGATAGCATGAGGCTTAAAATAAGAGACCTTTGAATTCCCACACAAGATCATGTAATTTGGAGCAACAGAGGGAGTGGGGAGGACTCTGCATTACTTTCTAACCTTGATCGGTGTGTGGGCTCTGGAAAATCACCTTTGCCTCTGGGTTCCAAAAGAAACACACTTCACGGTGACGGTGAGAACTAACAAGAATGCTCCCTGGGCTGCCTTGTCTGGCCTCAGAGGGAGAGGATGCATTTTAGTCCTGCTGTGAATTGATGTGCCAGGTAGGGTTGGTACCTAATTGGGGGGAGGGGCTCCCATTCTCTGAGGAGAAGGAAAGTGGAGGGAGGTGAGTGGGGAGGACCAGGAGAAGAGGAGGGAGGGGGCTTTGATTAGGCTATAAAATGATTAAATAAATTAATTAATGAAAAAAAAGAATGCCCACTGAAGTGCTCAGCATATAGTGTATGATGTTCCTAACCATGGAATGCTGGGCGGGGGAAGGGGGAGAATTAACCATGGATGTTGGGTTGGGGGAGACAACTTACAGGATAACAGAGACAACCACAGCTGGGGACCAAGGATGGACGATTTCAGACCTTGTTTATACCCCTGGGGTGTGAGAAGTCTTCCACCTAGCCGAGGGCTTGTTGTGGAGGCTGATGTTGAACTCCCCCCAAACCAGCTGGGGATTGCTTTCCAGAAAGGGAATTCCAGCCAGCGGAAGCAGTTCTGCCTCTGTGAAAAGCTAATATCTACATTTAGTTCTGTCATTCACACCTGGACTTTTCTTTTACTGAACATTCATTATATTTGTATTTTAATTTAGTTAAAATTATATTGTACTTGTATTTTAGCTATTGAATTCATGCATATTTTCAAAATGACTACCTCATTTTGTATTATAACATGCTTTTGATAAACTGCAGTTACATACATGAATAATCCATTTAAGAATTTTTTTTTTCTAGAAAGGCTGCTTTACCGAAGTATTGCAAATGATGCATAGAAACAGTGTAAGAGCTTTATAAACCTTCCTAAGATTTATGCATGTGCGGTATTTTAGCACTATATAGAATTTACTCTGATGGTTTATAGCTTAAATCTTTATTTTTAATTAACTTAACCATAGCTATTTGAATTAGTATAAATATGTGAATTAGAAAAATTACAGTATTTGCTCATAAATCCTTTACTTATTTTATATAAAATTTGATATCATTTTCCAGACTCAATTGAATTTTGTTTTTATAACAACTTTGAATTTACAATACAATGTTATTCTCCCTTCCATTTTCTCCCTCCAGCCTCTCTCATGCTCCCCCTGCTCTCTCTTTCTCTCAAATTCATAGCCTTTTTTTCTTTAATTGTTATGTATATGCATCTATGCATGGCTTCTTTCTCCAGCCTCGCTGGGGGGTCTCTGAAGAGGTGTTTGCACTTCCTAATTCTGAACATGCTTAAACATTAGTGATTTGATTAACTGAGCAATCCAAGAAATCCCTGCTGTCTCTATCTCATGGCCAGAACAGGGTCAAGGAACATAGAGTCACTGAGTGTGGGGCTCTGTTTTCCTTCATGCCTGGCCAACCTGAGGTTGAGAGGTGGGATTGCTCGTCTCAAACACAATTTGATTTGGAGTGTGTGAGTAAATAATTTGAAGTTTATGCATATATAAAATACGTATGTATATGTGTCAAAATCTTAGTGTAATCTTAGCAATAACTGTGAGTTAAAATTTTGTATATTTGACCATCAGCATTGTTTAATTTTAAGGTGAAAGGTTTATAACTTTCTGGGATTTGAGCAGAACCCTCTTTTGGAGTTCTTTGCGTAAACAAAGGTTTGCTGCTGTTTTAACGAAGATTCATTCTGGGCTTTTCTAAATGTACAGATTTATGACATTATCACTTTCTGTCACTTCACTAACATCCTTCTAATCAAATGGTAAATTCACTGCATTTAGGTTATCTGCAGGGTAGAAGTGGAATTTATGTTCTCCTATGGAAACTTTGGTTATGGATTTTCACATCAGGTTAGTTCCCTTCTTTTAAAAACTGTATTCTGTTTGAGCTTGTTAATCAAGTCATTCTCTTTTGAGCCTCTATTTTTTCCCCAGTTGGACAACTTTTAAAAGTAAGCGTTTTTAGGAATGGGATGTGGCAGAAGGCAGTGTTTACTTGGCCTGATGACCTGGCTTCAATCTCAAGATCCCACATAGTGGAAGGAGAGAGCTTCTGCCACAGGTTGCCCTCTGACCTCTGCATATATGCCCTGGCTCATGCATCTCCTTAAAACATAAATATGTGTTTACAAAACAATCATTTAAAAAGAAATGCTGCTTTACATTCTGATCTTGACCTATAAGGGCTTTTCTTCACTTCACCATGTGTTTTATCATACATTTAAAATGATGTTTTATTCAAACCGTCTTTATTATACAACTTCCTTTTTTAATTGTCTCTACACACTCACATTATTAAAAGCAATGCTTTCTTCGGTACTTAATTGAGTATGGAATTTTACATTTAGAAATACTCAACAAAATTGCAGTCATTGATCATAGACACACAGGCCTGCGATCCCTGCATTCAGACTAAAGGAAGATTTATTCTAGAGAAAGCATACCAATGTACAAAAACACTGTCACCCAGTGCTTGACAGAACTCTTGGTCTCCCTGGGTCATCAGAACCAGGCATGTGCTAACCTGGCCCCATTAATGCTACTGCTGTAGAGGAGACCTTTCATTTCAGAGTTGTGATTAATAATCTTCGGGCAAATTGTAATTAGTAATTGAGAGTAAGGAGATCAATCTTACTAAATAAGTCTACTGCTGTGTTGAAAAATTTCCTATATTATGTTTACATCTTTGTCTACAGTGTGATACGATTGTTCATACATTTTGAAACAAGTGTACAGATGACAGCCACAAAGAGCAAGCCCTTCCTTTTTTATCCCATTTTACTGTTTTTGCCATTTGTTTACTTATTTATTTGCGTATTGTAATGCTGGGTGCTAACACAGAGCCCTGGGCACAGTGGGCAGATTCTCTGCCATTGATTTACGTGCCCAGTGCGTGGCTTTTAGAAATAGAGGCTTTCTAGATAGATCTGTGGAGCCCAGGGTCACTTCCCACTCGTGAGGCCCCTACCTCGGGCTGGCGTGTGCTGAGAGTGCCACACTGGCGCACTGACATGCCCGCTCCTTTTGCTCTCTGTGTGTGCACGTATGTGCGGAGGCTGGAGGTGGACTTGGAAGGTCATGCCTGAGGAGTCATATACTTGGTTTTCGAGACAGAGTCTCTCACTGGGACCTGGGGCTTACCAACTAGAACAACCCAGAGACCCTCCTGCCGCTTTCTCCCCTGCACTAGGTTTACAAGCCCACTCTGCTATGCCCGCCTTTTTATGCTAAGTGTTTGGCATTCAACTCATGAGTGGAGAGCACTTTGCTGACTGAGCTATGTCTCTAGCGCTTCTGTTCTTTTCTTGTGAAGAATTACGCCTTGTTACAGTTCCCGCTGTCATTGCCTCCGTAAGCTACACTTAGCAGTCATAGCTTATGAGTATCGACTGTAGAGGCAGGTTTGTGTCCAGATCTAAGCATCACATGTACCAGGAACTATTCTTGAAGAGAAGGTCACTTTCAGCTTTGTAATCCCAGCACTGGCGAGGTGGAGAGCACAAGATCCCTGGGGCTTGCCTGGCAGCCAGCATAGCCTACTTGATGGGCTCCAGGCCGGCGAGGGACTGCGAGTGATGACACCCGAGCTTGTCCTCTGGGCTACACGTGTACATACACATGAGCATGCACCTTCAGACACAGATGAGACATATGTGTGCACGCACAGGGATAGCAATAACTTATTTTCACATAAAACTATATAGGGGAAAAAAAACAAACACCTGGCTGTCCAATAAAAACACAACTTGACCATGAGCCCTTCAGTGATCTACTCCCTTCCTCACCTACTGTGGGGATGTGAAAAGACCTCCAGATAAGAGGCAAAAAACTCTACACTCATGCCCCAGGTTGCACACTCATGCCCTGTGTTTCATACTATTTGGTAACTTTGAATGAATCACCAATCTTCAATGTGATCTGTAAAATATGCACACTTACCTCATAGTTTTATCAAAAGGGTTAGAGAAACGTAAAGGCATATAATGCTTGTTAAATGTTTAGTACCTGACAAATTAAGTTCCTGTCTTCTTCCTCATCTTCTTTCCTCCCCTTCCGCCCTGCTTTACATCACTTAAGAACCGTATCTGCCTTTGGGGCTTGAGGGTGTTTATCCTATTATGGTGAGTTATAACTAAATGTACTTACATTTTTATTCAGTTAAAACCTCTTCAAAAAGTCATTGAACCATCTATGTTTATGAATATTACACCTCCTCCTGAAAGAACAGATCCCCTCACGTAAGTTTCACTACTATATTAAGATTAAGTGGCCCTTAAAATTGTGATGGAGCATATCAGGTTATCTTAAGAAACCCTGAGATGTATCTGAGATTGGCCAAACCCTCAGGTAAGGGGAGCTCTGAATTCCTTTGCTTAGTAAGGTGAGAGAAAGAGCCGGGTATGATGGCTCATGCCTGGAACCCCAACACTCTGGAGACAGAGGCAAGAAGGTGGGGAGATCGTGGAGTCACATAAGACCCTGTGAAGAGCATGCAAGCAAAAAAGATGGGAGAGTTTCTTGGTGTCCCCCTGGAGAAAAGAGATAAGGTGTGTCGATGAGGGGTGCCTTCTTTGTGAACGAAGAAGTGGTTTAATGAGGGAATTAGCCAGCAAGAGTCCTTCCTGTGGAACACAGAGGACGGCTCCTAAGATTCACATGCCTCGCGGTTGCCAATTCCTGCTCTGTAGGACAGTAGTGTTAGCCTACGCCACACCACTCCAACTGTTACTGCAAACCTGGCTGTTAAAAAAAATAAATAAATAAAAAATAAAAAAAACTGTGTTAAAAAATGTTAGCTGGGCTGAGGAGATGCTCTGCAAGTTACATTCAGGTTCCCGGCATCCATGTAAGAAGCCAGTCATGGCTATGGGCAACCTATAGCCCTCAGCTTTGAGAGACAGAGACAGGCAGGTCACTGTTTGCTGGCGGTGAAGGGCCCTGCCCAAGGGACACAGAGATTAAGGTGCTCACCACTGTATATAACAAAGACCAACCAAAAAGACACTTTCTAGCTTTTAGATGTGTAAGGGGACTTGATCTAATTATTCCTGGCTTTCTTTCTTTTTTTTAAAAAAAAATATTTCCTTGTGCATAGGTGCTTTGCTTGCACGCCTGTGTGAGGGTGGGTGTCAGATCTTGGAGTTGCAGACAGTTGTGAGCTGCCATGTGGGTGCCAGAAACTGAACCTGGGTCCCTTGGAAGAGCAGCCAGTGCTCTCAACCTCTGAGCCATCTCTCCAGCCCCATTCCTGGCTTTCTTGTATGACAAGTGGATTCAATAAAAAATTGTTATTCTTTCCTATATTACATCCTGAATGTAGTTTCTCCTCCTTCCTCCTCCTGTCCTAGTCCCTCACCCCTCCCCTCATCCACTCCTGTTTCTCTTCAGAAAAGGATTCAATAATTCTTATCCTGTGGGCTTGCTGTGAAGGTAGAATAAGACAGTCTAAACAGACCTATGAATACAGTGCCTGGTACAAAAGCTAGTTCCTAGAATTAGCTATTTGAAAGAATGAGAGTCTCTGAAGGCAGATTTGGCTATAAATGGTTACTAAATGACCTGGGCTCAAGGACTTTCCATTTCTCCTTTCTTTGGCTGTCCCCCTTATCCATCCCTACTGCCCATGATCTTGATAGGACGAGTAACCAAGAAAGCACTTCTCTCAGGATCCTGACTCTGGCCTTCTTCCTTAGCTCTGTCTTGTTGATGGTTCACGGTGGCGGGTGGCAAGAGGAGGAGCAGTGAAAACAGCAGTTATCACACTGATTTTAGGGCTGCGCTTTTCCACAGTGCTTGCTATTTAACGCTATCACTATTTTTCAGAAATGTTATTACTCCACAACGAATAGAATACCCAGCATTCCTATCCCCAGAATTTAATGTTACCATCGGGGCTGCTGACACCAACCAGGCATCTGTGGTGCAACTTGAAAAACTTACTGAGAAGCCCCGGGAAAGGTAAAAAGTACAGGTTTCCTTTATTTGCATGTGGGTTTATATCATTCCAGTTCCTTCTGTTGAGCCATGGGCTTTCAGCTTGCCTACGAATACGCACTGTGATACTGTTTCATGTGTTCCTGTTTCTCAGCAAATTAGGTGCTTTATTACAGCAAGAAAAGAGGTGGAAACTCATTCATGAGAAAGAAAGCAAGTTGCTTCCTTCACTCGTCTGTTCTGTAGTCTGTAGTGCTATTTTTCCTCACCATCGTCTCTCTGTCAGTCGGGGTATTCCCTTCTCACTAATGTTCTACTTCATTGGCTTGCTCTTTCCTTTTAATCTGCTGTTGAGCTAATTCAAACGTGAGTTTCTTTTCTTTCTCAGTTACGGAATTTCCATTCATTTGTATAGTTCCTTTTGCTTTGCCCAAATTCTCAGCTGTGGGTTCTAACTCCTTGTGTTATACTAATCTCTGTGTTAGGTAGTCCAGACCTCTGTAAAATACCACAGGCATTGTGCCTCAATCTGTAGGCATTTATTTCACCCAATTCTGGAGGCTAAGATGTCCAGGATCATGACACTGGCTAAAGCCATTTCATGATTTATAATTTAATGTGTATTTGTTTACCCTTTTCAGTGTCTAACTATTAGATTCTTACTTTCTTTGAGAAAAGACAGCATGGCTCTTAAACCATCCCGCTGTGTGTTTGGTGCTTAGGGAGCACCTGACAAATGGTAGATGTTCAATGAGTGTTTGTTAAACAGACAGAATGTCAGATTAGAGGACAGGATGTGTTCTTTGGTTATGCAGCTCACATTAGAGACTTTATGAAGGTGGAAAACTAATTGTGCACATACTCAATTCTACATATATTCTCCTAGATTATTACAGACCATCATTTTGTACAACAACAGCAAAGTCTGGATGAAATATATTTTGAAATTTTGTTTGAAAGCAGTGTTCTAAAAGCAGTGAGTATTTGCTGATACAGGAAATAAAGAGGTCCAGACATGTTGAGCCCATTGTTCAGTGCCATATTTTCAAGGGACTTGATGGTGGCCAAGGTAGTAAAAGCTGAGCAGAGCTAAGATGGATATAGAGTCACAAAGAAACAAAAGCCAGAGCGCAGTGTATCCAAGGGTGATGAGCTTCACAAACACCTGGACTTCTCCCTGGATCAACAACTGTGACAGACTGTGTCTTTCAATGCCATGCCCCGGCTGCCCTACTTGCCTCCACTGGTCCCCAATCTGGCATTAGAAGTAACAGTTGGCTGCCAGATGTAAAAGTGCATGCCTTTTCTAGAGGAAAGTAATCCCAGGAGCCTCAAATTTATTCCACAAATTTCCAAATACAGTGTCTTGCACCCAGTAAAACTATATGCAAGAGGATCTAATATTTAACATATGTATGTACATACACACACACACACACGAGAAAAAGTGAAAAAAAATTACACTGGCACAGACTGGAAAAAGATCATCACCAACCCTACGTCTGACAGAGGGCTAATATCCAAACTATACAAAGAACTCAAGAAGTTAAATACCAACAAACCAAGTAATCCAATTTAAAAATCGGGGAACAGAGCTAAATAGAGAATTCTCAATAGAGGAATATCGAATGGCAGAGAAACACTTAAAGAAATGGTCAAGGTCCTTAGTCATCAGGGAGATGCAAATCAAAATGATCCTGAGATTCTACTTCACACCCATCAGAATGGCTAAGATCAAAAACTCAAGTGACAACACATGCTGGAGAGAATGTGGAGAAAGGAGAACCCTCCTCTATTGCTGGTGGGAATGTAAACTTGTACAGCCACTTTGGAAATCAGTCTGGTGCTTTCTCAGATAATTAGGAATAGTGCTACGTCAAGACCCAGCTATACCACTTCTAGGCATATATTTGAAAAATGCTCAACAATACAACAAGGACATTTGCTCATCTATGTTTGTAGCAGCATTATTCATAATAGCCAGAACCTAGAAACAACCTAGATGTCCTTCTATGAAAGAATGGATAAAGGAACTGTGGTACATTTACACAATAGAATACTACTCAGCTATTAAAAACAAAGAAATCATGAAATTTGCAGGCAAATGGTGGGAACTAGAAAAGGTCATCCTGAGTGAGGTATCCCAGAAGCAGAAGGACACACATGGTATATACTCACTTATAAGTAGATATTAGACATATAATATAGGACAAACATATTAAAATTTACAGACCTAAAGAAGCTAAACAACAAGGAGAACCCTAGGGAAGAGACTTAATCCTCATTCGGAAGGGAAAAATAGGATAGATATCAGAAGCGGGAGAAGACAGGGAACAGGACAGGAGCCTACCACAGAGGGGCTCTAAAAGACTCTACCCAGCAGGGTATCGAAGCAGAGGCTGAGATTCATAGGCAAACTTTGGGCAAAGTGCAGGGAATCTTATGGAAGAAGGGGGGACAGAAAGACCTGGAGGGGACAGGAGCTCCACAAAGAGAACAACAGAACCAAAAATCTGGGCCCAGGTGGATCTGTGGAGACTGATGAATCAACCAAGGAGAGTGCATTGAGAGGACCTAGACCCTCTGCTCAGATGTAGTTCATGAGCAAGCTTAGTCTCCATGTGGGTTTCCTAGTAAGGGGAGCAGGGGCATGAACTTGGATGTCTGCCTTTTGATCACCTCTCTCTGGTGAGGTGGCTTTACTAGGCCACAGAGAAAGAAAATCCCAATAGTCCTGATGAGACCTGATAGGCTAGGGTCAGAAAGAAGGGGAGAAGGACCTCTCCTATCAGTGGACTAGGGGAGGGATACAGGGGGAGAAGGGGAAGGGAGGGTGGGATGGGGAAGAGATGAGGGAGGGGGCTACAGCTGGGATACAAAGTGAATAAATTGTAATTAATAATAACAATAATAATGAAAATAATAATCTGAAAAAGAGAGAAATAGATAAACTGCAAGAAGTCTTTGCCCATCCGTTTGCCAGTTGGTGCCAGCTATGAGCTAGGACCTGAGTGTTCCACAGGGCTTCGGGTAGGCTGTCCTGGCTTCATTCCAGAATGCCGTTCTGTATTTGACTGGAGGAGCATTGTAGGAGGGCACGCACCACTGTGCAAGTACTACTCACGCTTACGTCTGTGTCCCCATAATTCTGTCCCATCAGCCAGGACAAGGCTCGTGGCCATCCTCGGGGACAAAGACACGAGTTCTAGATTCAGACTTGTGAGAAGGAAAGTAGCTAAGAAATTTTGCGGTTAAAACAGCGTCTCCTGAATTCTTAAATATGGACATCCTCAGTACTGATTTTTGTTTGTTTGTTTGTTTGTTTAGGGGGAGTTTTAAATACTTTGCTATAAGTTTTGCTATACAGGCTGTCCATCAGACTTTTGGTTGCTTCTTGTGTTCTATTACTTTCTGCAGGAACTTCTGTAGCCACTGTCGTCCACAGACTTGCCACTAACATGTTCTCCGTGAGCTCAAACAATGCATGGCCATTTACCAATATATGAACCTTATTTTTGTTTTAATCACTTTTAAACTATATCCTTAGATAATATATTGACAGTTTGTCACTTTTGGAACCTTATGTAAACAGATATTTACATTGCATTGTTTTTATGAGAATTTTACCATACAGATTCTTCTGTCACTTGCGTTTTTTTTTTTCATCTCTAGCTGATTACTTTGTTTAGGTTGGAAAAAATGAAACATGAATATAAAAGTCTGCGTACATGGATAGAAAAATCTCAGTATTTAAAGAACCTTATTAATCCAAAAGCAGCAAACAAAGAACCACAGGTAACCTTAGGGTAATTGCAAAAATGTATTCTTTCATATGTAGTATGCAGTATGTATGTTTAGTGGAAACATGCATTGAGAATTAAAAAGGTTTTATCAGATAATTGCTGATTCCATGAAATAAAATACTATTCGCAGTTCATATTCTTTTCTACATTAACATGTACCGTTCAGTGTTTATTCATGATTTATAAGGTTCAATTAATTGGCCAACTTGAAGTCAGCATTTCAGTGGCGTTCGTTCAGCCTGTCCACCAAGTTGCCTATCCGTCACCACGATCAACTGTAAGACACTCTCACTGTTTAAACAGGGGTAGCCCGCACTGGGTCACTACTCTCTCAGTTCTCCCATTGCCGTCTAGCCCTCTGCAACAGCTGATCTGTTTACTTCTGTGTACGTTTGCCTACCCCAGACACTTTCTTTTTTTAAATTTAACTTTATTTTTATTAATTACACTCTATTCATTTTGTATCCCAGCTGTAGTCCCATTCCCCATCCCCTTCCAATGCCATCCTCCCTCCTTCATCTCCTCTCATGCCCCTCCCCAAGTCCACTGATAGGGGAGGTCCTCCTCCCCTTCCATCTGACCCTAGCCTCTCAGGTCTCATCAGGACTGGCTGCAGTGTCCTCCTTTGTGGCCTGGTAAGGCATCCCCCGCTCCTCAGTGGGAGGTGTTTAAAGAGCCAGCCCCTGAGTTCATGCCCAGACATTTTCTAAAAGTGGAATTATATATAAAGATGTGGCCCTTTGAGGCTTACTTTTTTCCCTCTCTTCCCATAATGTTTTCCAGTTGTAGCATATATCAGAAACATATATGCATATATATAGAAAGAAACTTCACTGTTTCTACATACATCTCTAGCGTATGGATGTACTATATTTGTTTCTGTGTTCTGCTGATGAACATTTAGTTCATTTACACTACTGAGATACAGTGAGCACTCATGAGCAAACTTTTGTTTTTCTTGAGATGGGACCTCACTAAATAGGATAGTCTTAAACTTGCTGACAACTTAGACTCTGCCTTACCCTCCCATGTGCTGAGATCACAGGTATGGACAACCTAGTTGGCTTTCTTGTATATGTTTTTGTGTGGACAAATGTTTTTAAAATTTTTCCTGCATGAATGCCCAGGAACAGAAACCAGGTCATATGGTAATTCCCAGTTTCAAGGTTTGAAAAATGGCCAAATTCTTCCTGCTTTGTCATCTTACATTCCAATAAAAAGCGTGTGATGGTTTTCAATCTTGAACTCTTGTTGGGTTTTCCCTACTGCATTGTTTCTTGTCCTAATGTTCCTGACAACCTTGTGTAATAGCTCTGGCTGTCCTGGACTCGCTCTGTAGACCAGGCTGGCCTTGAACTCACAAAAATTCGCCTGCCTCTGCCTCTGCTTCCGCAGTGTTGTGATTAAAGGTGTGTGCCGTCACAACTCCTCTTGAATCCATGCTCTGTAGATTATTTTTATCACCAACTCCCTCTTTGTCCTCTGTAAAAAATTATAAAAGCAGAAAAAATATTTTAGTGCTTTAGGTATTTTGCCCAACATGTTTTCTTTCTTTCTCTCTTCCTGTGTGTGTCTAGGAAGTACCAGAATCAAAGACTCACCCATTGGAAGAAGAGCCTAAGAGTGTGACCTATGGTAAAAATCAAGTTAACTTTAATGTTTATTAAGATAACTAAAGCAACATGGTATATCATAAAAGTTACTTACTTACTTTAAATGAATTTCATTTTTGTCATAGATCAAATATTTTATTATTGTACCAATAACATTTGTATTTTGTAATAGCCTCAAATTATTAAGAGCTTCTTCAATTTTAAAATAGTTACTTATTCTATGTGTATGGGTGTTCTGCCTGCGTGTCTGTGTATCAAGTATGTTTCTAATGCACTCGGATGCCATCAGAGAGCATCACTTTCCCCAGGAAGAGAGTTAGAGGTGGTTGTGAGCTGCTACATGGGTGCTGGGAACCAAATCTGGGCCCTCTTCAAGAGCAGCCAGGGATGGTACTAGTGAGTCATTTCTCCAGCCTGAGGAGTTAAAAACATAATGGTTCTTTGTTCTTTAAAGACAGAAAAAGTTCAATTTTAACTGTGATATTTATAAAGACATTTTTGTTAAGCACTTTGAACTATAGAACTATTGAGGCCAGGATGTGTGTTTGTGTGTGTGTGTTTGTATGTGTGTGAAATAGAGGAGAAAGAGACACAGAGAGACAGAGAAAGAGACAGGCAGAGAGAAATTGTGGTGGAGGAAACTCAATTTGTATCATTATTAATCAATTACTTGTTATTATTAATTACTTATCAGTAGGAAATTTAATTAATGAAAAATGGTGTTCACACAGTCTCCTAAATATTTCTCTCGACTTCACTTAAAAAGCAAGTTGAAGTATACCACTGTACTTTAAACACATGGTTAAAGTCTTTAATTCAAGTATGTAATTTAAAGTCTTTAATTCAAGTACGTAATATAATTTATTGTTGCAAGGTTTTTTTGCTTCAACTTAATCATCTTTTCATGCTATTTCCATTTCCCCAGCCATATCAGCCATTTACACAGATGTGCATGGACTCATATTTCTTCACTGTACTAAATTAGTGTAGTAGAGCTGTTGCATCTTCAACTACTCTACATGAAAAGCATAAGCTTCTTTTTGGTGCTGCTTTCACTGTCTGGTTGCTAGAGATCAAAGCCAGGCCCTCAATTATGCTCAGCAAGCACTCCACTGCTCTCCCTCCAGAGCCCTAACTCTCATGCCTTAAGTATAATATAATCACAGGTTCCCGCTTCAGTATCACACACTGGGAAGAAGGGATAGTTCTCTCTCTCTTTCACTCTCTCTCTGTCCTTTTTGTATTCTGTTTTTCAACTCTCCAGAGGGTATTCCATTTTTTAACATATCCAATGGGCCATCTAATGACTTGATTCTTCTTTGGTATTTGTGAGACCTTCAGGGTTCTAGCACATACATAATTATGTCCATGTTTTCACAGATAAGTAAACTAAGAATTGATTAAATAACCAGTTAATTAGAGCTCACAGCCATTAACTGATAAGAGTTGACTCTGAGCTCAGTCAGTTTGACCCTATAGAGTAAATATTAATCATATTTCTATTTACATAATATCTTCTGCAACACATCTGTAAAATGATGTGCTATAACTTATTTTATATCTGAGACATCACAGCTAGGAAAAACAAAATGAGGGAGGAATGCCATCAAGACATAAGTTCTGAAACCTTTTTGGTCGTCTACAGATACTTCCATTCCCACAAAATATCCTTTTACAAGAAATCCAGAAACTGATAGGCTCGAAATGCTGAGTGAGCAAAACCTACTCTATTTTAGCTGATAGGAATACATAAGACAGCTGCTGTGGAGGTCAAGAAAGAATAAGATCATGAGCCAATATTTTTATTTTTTTCAGGACATCCTAAAACAGCATTCTCCAGGTACTTGAGACATGTTAAGATAAAAAAAAATGTACCAGGCATGGTGGTGTATGCCTGTAATATAGTCACTTGAGTGGATAAGGCAAGAGGAATCAGGAGTTTGAAGCCAATTTGGGCTACAAAACAAGACCCTGTCTCAAAAATAAAGTAACACAAAACAGCCTCCACCAAAACAGAATTACATAGCACTATAGACAAAATTGGCCTAATTATAGGCCAAATGGATGCTAGTACAAGATTCTACACAACAGGAGTACATAGAATAATCTTCAAAATAGAGATCACTAAAAAGCCAACAAATTCACAGTAGTTTACATGATACTGAATATCTCTTCCAGTTACAATGGAATGAACTTAGAACTGATAGCATAAAAAAATGAAAAATTCTCAATATGTAGGAATTTAAATTTTCATTTTTTCTTTTATTTTTTTCTTCACAATTTATTTATCGTATATCCTGATTGAAGCCCCCTCCTTTAACTCCTCCAGTCCCATCCTCCCTCCCTTTTCCTCCCATCTCCTTCCCCTAGTCCAGTGAAAGGTAGAGTTCTCCACTATTGCCATCTGTCCATAGCTTGTTAAGTCTCATCAGGACAGCCTGGATCCTCTTCCCCCGTGGCCTGGCAAGGCTGTATCATCAGGGGTGAGTGATCAGAGAGCAGTCAACTCAGGTCATGAGAGAGGCAGGCCCTGATCCCCTTACTCAGATACCCATATGGAGACTGAGCTGCCAATCAGCCACATATGAGCAGGGGGTCTAGGCCCTCTCCATGCATGGTCTTCCTTTGGTGCATCAGTGTTTGCAGGACCCCCTAGGCTCAGATCTTTTAGTTTTGTTGGTCTCCTTGTGGGGCTCCTGATCCCTCCATGTGAATGAAGGTCACCTCTACAGTAAACCACAGAATAAGTGCAAAGAAAAATTAGAAGACACCCAAGATACATTCAGTGAAGCAAAAGCAATGCTGAAAGGCACATTTATAGTAAGAGGTCAGTTTATGGCAATAAAGGCTGCCACAGGGGGAAAAGAGAAGATAAAAGGAGAAAAACAATGCAAAAATAGTGGGATTGTTGATGGAATGTAAAATGTTCCAGGGAGTTTGGGAATACTATAAAAGCTACACACCAATTCCTACATGCCCCATTCCATCTTCTTATTTCTCATCTGCTCCCCTTATCTTCCCAGAGACTTGTCAGCATGTTTTTACTAAGGTAGTGTTCATGCTTGAATACCTACTTTTAAGTTCCCTTTATTTGAAGGGAGAAAAATTATAATCGTAGCTTATTAGTGAACATACATGTAAGAATTGCAATGTTATTTAAATAAAACAGAGTATTTATTATTTTAAACAGATACCTATCACAGAAAATCTGAACTTTTTCCAAGAGAGGTAAGATAATTTCTTTTTTTTTATTTTATTTTTCTTATTAGTTGCATTTTGTTAACTAGATAATTTCTTTTTTTAATTAAAAAGATGTATTTAATTTTGTGGTTTGACTACATGTCCTAGGCCTATTCATGCATAGTTCCCACAGATGTCTGAAGAAGGCACTGGCTCTCTTTTGGAACTGGAGTTATAGATGGTTGTGGCCACCATGTGGGTGCTGGGTATCGAACCTGGGTCCTGTGCAAAAGCAGCCAGTGCTCTTAACCACTGAGACATCCCAAAGAGAATTTATAATAGTCATTATTCTATGAAGTGATGGAATATTTATAAGTAGAAGAATAGGTGCAGGTAAAAATTAAAAAACATCCTTAAAGTTACTCAGTTATTTTTGTTATGACAGAATCAATACTGTTAGAAAATTTTTAAGTTAAATTACTCTATGGAAACAAACGAGCACAAAACAGTAACAATTTACAGTACATAGCAAGGAAGAGGGGTTAACAGTATAAGGAAGAAAAGAAGAAATCCATGAAACTTGACCTAAGATCTGAGAAGCAGATGGCCTAACCATGTTTTTACTTTCACCAGAATCGGTTACTATGATGTGACCATTGGCCATGCACTAACAGTAGACATTTCATAATAGAAGTCAGTAAAACATGGGATTAACTTAAGTTTTCATTCTATTAAAGAATACTCTCCGTGTAAACCAGTAAAGAATAAAAGCCCCGTCTCTACTTTTTGATGCTACTTAATTATTTCCATCAAGGTTCAGTGACTCCCAAATGTCAGTTGAGGAATCAACATGTACTGTTTCCTCCAAGTCAAGGAAGGGAGTTGGGGAAGCAAGTTAGAGGCTTGTATGACATTGACAGCATTTAGTTTAAGAAGCTAGCCTTGGTTTTCCCTTTCTTTATATTACATTTTCCTTTGTTTTATGATGTAGTTGTGATATTGTCCCTTGTGTTATTTTGGTACTGAAGTTTTCCTTGTTTTATGACATTGGTGCATAGTGTGACAGTAAAACATCGGTTCTCAGATTTCTTTAACATGTAACCAATTAACACGCAATCCAGACATATGCAAGCAAGCCACTGCTTCATAAACCACTGCCTTATCACATAGTGAAAAATGGTCTATCTAAGTATAAGATTTCTTAGCGTCTTATTGAGAAGTGTAATAACTTACAAATATCAACTGTAGCACATAAAGGACAGATAACAATGCATTTTGATTTATCGACTTTAAATACTCACTTAGTGAGGGCTGGAGAGATGGCTCAGTGGTTAAGAGTACTGGCTGTTCTTCCAAAGGACTCAGGGTTTAATTCCCAGCACCCACGTAACAGCTCCCAGCCATCTGGAATTCCAGTGTCAGGGGATCTGACATCCCACACAGATATATATGCAGGCAGAACAGTAATGTACATAAGATAAAAATAAATTAGAAGAAAAAATACTCGCTAGTGAATAATGATTAAGTTTACTCTGCTGCTCTGTTTTTCTGTTTGTTTTTTTAGCATGTGGACAGTGGTGAAAAGGAAGGCCTGGTAATACCAGTTTTGAAGCTTTTGAATCAAAGTTCCCCAGAGTTTGGTTTTCATAGAAGTGGTGAAACATCACCGTCACTAGATCTTCCCCCTATTCACAACCTGCAGATAACAGAAGAGGACAGAATGCCACGTTATTCAAGAATTTATGATCAAGAAGACAGGCCATACGAAGACAGGAAAAATGTATTGTTTTCATCGGAGGAAAACCTAACCCCCAGGTTTCCAAGCGCTTTTAAGTTAGCCTCATCTCTGCACGAGGTAAAGTTGGGACATTCACTCGTAAATCCTGAGAGAATAAGGAGGAGGAATATAGGTTTTCTCTCCAATACAATGAGGTATCAAAGCAAATATTTTAACGACGAAAAGGAAGAAGGCTAGTTTGGGTTCCTGAGATTTGAAATGGAAAGGTGCCGTAGATGTGTCTCCCCCACAACAAAGCTTCAGACAGGAAAAAAACAAAATATTTTTTAAATCAATTAAATACCAATAAATTCAAATTTTATTCAAATAGTTCTAAGTAGAAATGTGTCTAAATATGTTTCTACTCTGTGTGCACTCATCAATTAAGGGAGAAAATCCTTTGAGAGAAAAGCTCACCATCAAATTAATCTGATTTAGTGTATGACAAAGGACATGTAAAAGCCTGAGAAATTATTTTAGTAGAATTAAAATGAACCTATTGCATTACAAAACCTAGCACCTGTGACCCCTTGTTTCAAACTTGTGTAGGTTTAAGGTTTACTAAGAACGTTTGTCCGCTCTCTGCTCCTCTCCCGCAGGCTTCCCCTTCATCTCCTCAGTAAGCTTCTCCTACCCTGAGCACTCCGGCTGGCTTTTGACATCCAAGTGTCTAGCTCTATCTCTTCATCTTTTGATGGAGTCAAAGCATCACTAAATTTCCTCTGAAATTCCAAAAGATATAATTGTGTTAAATAACTCTAGCTGGGAACTTAATCTTAATTACTTAATCAATAGCTTAAAGCAATGTAATTTGAATAATGTTTTTCTTTACTTGCTGTGAAGGTGTAACACATGCTCATAAAAAAGTTTGGAAAAATGGAAAACATAAAAAGCAAGCTAAACTGGGTGATGGTGGCACACGCCTTTAGTCCCAGCACTTGGGAAGCAGAGGCAGGGGGATCTCTATGAGTTTGAGGCCAGTTTGGTCTAAGTTCCAGGACAGTCAGGGCTACACAGAGAAATCCTGTCTTGTAAAACTAAATAAATAGATAAAAATAAACTAAAAGACAAGCTAAATAAAGTAGTTACGATTCCCTTACCATGATAAAAATTTTAGTTCCTTCAGTCTTTGTTATGTACATAAATTCGTTATTTTTCATACTTGAATCAAATTTATTTCACTTGTATTAGTTCTTTGGAAATTTCATATGATCTATTTTGATCATATTCGCCCCTCACCTAATTCCTCTCAGATCTACACCTCCTTCCCTGTGTTCCCAATGCTATGTACTCTTGTATTTTTTAAAACCCCTCTTGTTAGTGTGCTCTTGGATGTGGGGGCTCCTGCGGGCAGGTGGTCACCTACCACGGGCTTAAGGAAAGCCTGACTCTCAGCAGGTACTAGTTTCCAATTGCTCCTTAGCTCGGCGGGGCTTCCTGCTTCTCTGCCTTCTATGATGGGATTTGGTCTGATTTGATGGCAGAAGCCTTGTGCATGCTGTCATAATCTCTGTGTTCATATGTGCGACTTGCCTGTTGTGTCCTGAAAAACACTATTGCTGCGTACTCATCTACTGCCTCTGACTCTTAATCTTCCCACCTTCTCTTGCACAATGATCCTTGAGCCTTGGGAGGAGGGAGACGTGGCAGAGGACTGAGCATTCCCCAGTCTCCTATTCTCTGCACCTGGACCAGTTTAGGGCTCTGCGCCGATCACTATAACACTGCAAAAAGAGCCTTCTCCCGTGAAGGCTGGAAGATGGAGTAATTCGTGGGTATAACCGAATATTAGATATTAGAAGTTGGATTAGCCTCTCTGACCTGTTTACGTGTTCTTGGTCCCAGTATCAGCACCAGGTGTGAACTTCAACTTGTGGATCAGTTGTAATTTTTTTTTTTTTTAATCAGAAAGTGGGTAGTTACTCTTATAATATTTTGCCAGTGGGCGTGTCTTGCCAGCTGCTTGTTACTGTAGCTCACAGGGGTTAGAGCTGGGTAGTATATTGGTAACTACTTCACTCCTCCTAACACTGAAAAGGACAGCAGGTAGTCTGTCTGGGTTTTTGCGTGTCTGTAGCACTCACATGCACGCACGCACGCACGCAGCACTATGCTTTTCATGACTCAGCACTTTAAACATTATACTTGAATTTAATCTCAGAAAAAATTTTAAGATGTAGAATATTCTCAGATGATATTTTACATTTTCACCAAAAGCATTTAATTACGAATGGTCCTTTGGATAATAATAATTTTTTTGTGTGTGCTTCACTGTCATTTTTACTTTTCTACTGTGAATAAATAGGTCAAGTCCTTTGTCTAAATTTCCGCTTTGAAGACTTTTTCTTAGATTTTAAAATGAGTCCTTTTTAACTTAAGGGTATTAACCATTTAAAAGTCTGTAGTTTTCCTGGGTGACAGTGGTGGCACAAGCCTTTAATCCCAACAGTGGGAGGTAGAGGCAGGCGGATCTCTGTGAGTTCGAGGCCAGCCTGGTCTACAGAATGAGTTCCAGGACAGCCAAGGGTACACAGAGAGACCTTGTCTCTAAAAACAACAACAAAAACAAACAAAAACAAAAAACAAAAAAAATCTATAGCTTGCCATGGTTTATAGTTTTCTCTTTGATTTATGTAGTATATTCAGTCTGACACCTAAAATATTGTTTGCATATGATAAGTGAGTCATTTATTACTGTATAACAAAATCGCTTAAAACATTAGTGCTTGGAAACCACCATTTCCTCAGAATCCTGTGAGCTTGAGCAGGCTGCCGCTCCCAGATGACTGACCCTTCCATGGGAAATGCTTAGGCTCTGTAGCCCTCTACTTTGACAGTCTCTTCTAAGTACCTTCTCCCTCACTTGCTTCCCTTTTCCTGCCCTTCCATGTAATGTCAGGAATTACCCTCACACTCCATGTGGCTGTCCTCTTTATAGTCTTTTAACAAGGCAGCTAAAGTTCTTATGTGGCGACCCAAGCATTCTAAAACACAAAAGCAGAAGCCACAGGACTTTATAAGGTTTAGGCTTAAACTTAGTCTGAACTCACTTCTACTGCATTCCAGACTGATTGAACCTTGAGAAGCATCGTCCCTGGGACTCTCTTAGACTATAAATTATCATAGATTAACTTCCCAGCAAGGAACATCCCCTTCACATGTAAAATATTCCCCCTTCGCTTCCCAGATCCTCAGTCTCATGCTATTACTCTTAAAAGAGACTCAGGCTTGAAATACGGAATTTTACCACATTATCTGGGGCAGGTGACAGGCTCCTCTAGTCTGGCTCTGGGTTATCTGTCCACCACACACACTAGTCAGTCAGGAACAGAACTAGCATGTTCTGCAAGCTAGAAGACCCGTAGTGCCTCAAAGGATACACAGGCTAGCCAACAGATTAATAAATATCTCTCACATTCTTGATGGTGTCTTTGGGTCTTGTCTGTATGCTTTTAATGATTTTTTTTTAAAGTAAGAAGTGACTATTTTATATATTAAACATCTGTTTGCAGTGTCTTTTTGGAGGAAGTTGTTTAATTACCTCTATCCACTTCAAACTATCTCAGTTTGAGATGCTATAATTTATATAAAGTGTGGGTGTCTTAAGTAACAAATTATTTTTAATGGTCAAATATCACGCCTGCATGTTTTAACACAGGACGGATTTCCTTGGACTGAGCATTCACTTGCTCTGGCAGAGTAGCCTGAAAAAGTGTTGGTGAAGTTTGTCTAGTAGACAGGGCATGAGCTGCCGCCTAAGATTCTCCAAATAATGTCTGCTAGGCATCCGATGAGATCTTTTTGAGGCTTTAAATAACGTTAAATCCTGTTGTCTCGGTTTTAAAAATCATGTTTTAAAAATCATGCTCTGGATTTGCTCTTTGGCTGTGGGAATTAGTGACTAGAAGCAGAAGTGCAGAACTATTTTATTTTCCAACAGCAGCAAATTATAGTTCAGGATTGTTTTCTGTGGATGTCTCTTCAAGAAACAACAGTCCCTCTTCTAGTTCACTTTATTGGAAGCATTTTGTAACCCACAGCTAAAGGAAGTTGGCACTTTGAGCATGAAACCTGGAATTCTTAGGCAAATGGCCTTCTGCTGACCTTCTGACTGGGGTAAGCAATGTTGGCAGACTGTCACTCTGAAAAGTTGGTTGCAACTTTTAGTTTCCAGCAAAAATTACTTTCATAAATTTCCCATCTCATCTAACTATTTTCTTGGTGATCTTTCAATTTTTTTTTAACCAAGATGTATCCCCCCAAACAAATTCCACATTTTAAGGGTTTTTGTTATATCAGCAATCCATCTCTTGGTACCTACTTCTAAATAGTTACTTAGCAACTGTCCCAAAACTTAATGTCTGGAACCATTTTTACTCTCTAGACTTGATTCATAGTCTATGCTTACCTAGGAAGTTCTGTTTCACCCAATATCAGCTGAAGAAATGTCATCCTGGGGTTTGTCACCCCCAACATGGCTCAGTCACTTGTCTGGTGCCTGATTGGAAATGGCTAGAAGACTGGCACCTGGAATGGCTGAGCCCCGAACGATGTGTTGTCCCAGAGTCTCTCCCCCTCCACTAGCTTGTTTATGGCAGGAAAGGAAGACTTCTGTTAGAACAGCTTAAAGTTTTTACTAGAGGTAGCACATCCGTATCCAGTACATGAGTATTAGTCATCCTTCTCTCTGTGTGTCACACCTGCATATCCAGCCATTAAAAATGCTCTACAAAATGTGTCTGTATAAAAGCAATGCATGTAGCAATATTCTATAGCTTAATATTTGGAGTGTTACAAGTGCTCAGCAAGATTTGTGCAGGGTATATGCAGTACCATGCTCTTCTGTCTGAGAGACTTGGGTGTTTGAGAACTCTAGTACTTTGTGAAGGTTCTGGAACCAATCTCCCTCCTGTGGATACTCAAACGGAACAAACATTTGAGTTTAAATATGCTGTATAAAGTGACTAGTCGTCCCTAAAGATAACAAGTCCTGAGCTTTGGATCCTGTGAATATTAATCTTATATGGCAAAGACTTTGCAGGTGTGATTGAGAATCCGAAGGTCCGAAATAATGGTGGGCCCTAAATGTCGTCATAACATCCTTCTAAGAAAGTCATGGGGCCTGACACCCAAAGAGCAGGTAATGTCAAGATGAAGCAGAGGGACTTGGAGACATCCTGCATCAAGTGAAGGAACACCAATCTTCACCAGAAGCTGGTTGACACAAGAATGGAGTCCCTACATCCATCCTCCCCAGCTCCTATAGGAAGCATGGCCCTCCTTATCTTGCTCTCAACCTTGTAAGACTGATTTTGAATTTCTGACCTTCAGAATTGTGAGAAAA